GCCCCTGCCCAGTGGCACCGCCCCATTCCGCGCCTTGCGGAACCGGAGGCTAAGCAGCATGCTAACCTAGCCCACCTGCTTCCACAAGCTCGGGTCTTCTCCAGCTCTTTCACAAGGAGAAATAGGAGACTAGATCATGAAGCTTTGATACCGCTCCAAAATGGAGGGAAGAGAGGTGTATCCCTTTGTCCTCCGCAGCGCACTTCGTGCCATCTTCCAGTGGAGGAAACTCATTCCATATTCAGAACCCATTTTAAAAAAAATTTAGTTTAGAAAAGGAGAGAAACCCACTTGTTGTTCCGCTTATTGATGCATTCATTGGTTGATTCTTGCATGTCTCCTGACTGGGACCCAACCTGCAACCTTGGCGTAATAGGACAGGCTCCAATCAGTTGAGTTACAGGGCCAGGGCCAGACTCCGTTTTTCTAGGCTGCACTGGAGCCTCTTCTGCCTGGCATGGTGCTCCTACCCAGGTTCCCCTGATTCACTGGGTGGGAAATCAAGGATAATATACGGTGGTTTTTCTTTCTTTCTTTCTTTCTTTTTTTTTTTTTTAAAGATTATGGTGCTCCTCCAAGTTTTGGTGTTTGGTTTTTTTTTTTAAGATTTTCTTTATCAACCTTTAGAGAGAGGGGAAGAGAAGGGGGAAGAGAGGGAGAGAAACATTAATGTGCGGTTGCCTCCTGTGTGGCCCACACTGGGGACCAGGCCCCCAACCCAGGCATGTACTCTGATGAGGGATCGAACAAGGGGCTCTTTGGTTTGTAGGGCGGCACTCAACCCATTGGGCCAGACCAGCCAGGATGATAAGGCGGTGTCTACAGTCATGCAGAGTATTAGGAATCAGTCCTGCACCTTATGCCTCTCAGTCTGTAATTTAAAAATATGCATATTGATTCATTTATTCAACAATTACCTGAGTAGTTACCATGTGCCAGGTAAGCTCTTGAAACTTGAAGTTAAGCTGTGAACTTTTCAGGCAGAGGCCTGCTCCCACAGATCTTGAGGATTAGTGAGGGAGACAGTCACTAAGGAAATAGTATCAAATATGTCAATATAAATCATGGTAAGGGTATGGATGCTACACCCAGATCCCCTGGGTTAATAATCCTAACTCTGCCATTCTTTCCCTAACCTCAAAATGGGACTTATAATAATAATAGTCCCCTACACACACGAAGTTATTGTGACTATGAAATGAATTGGTACAATGTAAAGTGTGAATAGGCCTAGCACATTTTGAGTCAACTTAATCATTAGCTATTATGATGAGAGGGAAAAGCAGGGTTCTGTCAAAGAGGAAATGAGAAGCCTTTCTGTGGAAATGACTTAAGACCTAAAAGACGATAAAGCTCTAACCAAGAAATGCGGACAGAAGAGAATCCAAGGCCTCATCCCCAGTATTTCAGAATGTGACTCTATTTTGAGACAGGGCCTTTTGAGAGGTGGTTAAGTTAAAATGAGGCCTTCAGAGTGGGCCCCAATCCAATCTAAGTGGTGTCTTTAGAGGAAATTTGGACGCACAGAGACAAATCAGGGATGAGTAACAAAGAGAAAAGACCATGTGAGAACGCAGCAAGAAGGTAACTATATGCAAACCAAGGAGAGAGGCCTCAGGAGAAACCAAACCTGCTGACATCTTGATTTTGGACTTTGAATCTACAGAAGTAGGCGAAAGTTTCTTGAGGTCAGAGGTCATTTCTTATTCATCCTTGTATTTCCAGATTCCCGCATGGTATATAACACATAGGAGGTAGCTCCCGTTGACTCCTAACTCCATTGATTTTCTGGCTGCCATCCCCACCACTCCACTGCAAATTTCCTTCCCAAGGTCACCAGCAACCTCCTTGTGAATAAACCCATTCTGTAATTTTTAGTCCTTTCTTTGTTGCCTTTGCTGCAGCATTTGACCCTGTGGATCACACTCTTTTCTTCAAAGCCTCCTACTCCTTTGCTTTTCCTCCTATGATTCCAACTGTTCCTCTTCAGTCTCATTTGAGGATTTCTCCTCTTCTGTCCATCATTGAAACATTGGGTATTCTTTGGGGTTCTATTTTTGGCTGTCTTCTCTCAGCACTCAATACACTGTCTTGGGACCATCTCTCCCATTCCCATGACTTCAGCTAGCACCTTTTGCTGATGACAGCCAAATCCAAATCACCAGCCCAGGACTCCTTCCTAAAGGTCACACTCATAGACACAACTGTTTACTGGGCATCTCCACTTAAAGGAGAATCAGAAAAGAAAGCACAGGCTCTAGAATCTAACTGCTGGAGTGCAAAGCCTTGCTCCCTGTCCTGGCTGGGTAGCTTAGTTGGTTAGAGCATCGTCCTGATATGCCAAGGTTGCAGGCTTGATCTATAGTCAGGGTACATACAAGAAGCAACCAATGAATGCATAAATAAATGGAATGACAAATCAATCCTTGTCTCTCTCTCTCTCTCTCTCTCTCTCTCTCTCTCTCTCAAATCAATAAATAAAAATAAAATAAAATTAATTATTTTTTAAAAAGCCTTGCTCCCTCACTAAGCTGCATGGCATTGGACAAGTTACTTACCTGTCTGTGCTTTAGATAATAATGGTAATGATAACTATGGGGTTGTTGTGGGTACTAAATAAGATAATTCATAGATACTTCATGTATAGCACTTAGCATAGTGCCTAGAAATGTGTTGATATAGTAGTAATTAAATGTCTTCAGAAAGCTGAATTCAACAGATTCAAAAGTGAACTCCTCAGCATACCCTAGACCTTCTCTTCATTCTTTGTTCCAAATATCAGGAAACAGCAGCCGTATCTACCCAGCCAGAATTATTGGTACTATCCTTGTTTTCTGACCACCATCGCCTTCCCATCCTATCAGGGACTCTTCCTTGACTGAACTTGTTGGAACATACCTACAATCCATTAACTGTTTCCAATGTCCAGGCTCTACACATAGTCATTCATTCGACCCACAGAATTGTCCTGCAAAATAATTGCCATTATTATCATCCCTATTTTGCAGATACAGAATTTGAGGCACAGAAAGATTAAGTAACTCATCCAAGAGTATATGAAAGGCAAAGCTGGGATACAAACAAAAGCAATCTGGTTTAAATCTCCTTGCTCACAACCACTAGGCCATATGCCACACTGTTTCTATTATATATTCATCACATTCTGTTGTTTGCCTCCTCCCCCCTGCTAGACTGTGCATTCCTTGAAGTCAGGGACTCTGATTTGTTTGCAGCAGCATCTTCAGTGACTAGATCAGTGCCAAGGAAAAGGTGCCTGATTAATGCACCCAGTGAATTGGGTAGTTCCCTAGAGATAAGACAATGTATAAATAAATGGAAGCAATAGAATAGCCATTGGCTTGCATTCAGTTACTGCCAAGATTAGAGATTTTGTTTATAGAGAAAGTTTTTGCTTTTCTTTTTGTTTTTATATGTGAGAATAACAAGCAAAAAATTGGAGTCAGAGGTAAGTAGAGTATGAGTTTAAAGAGATACTAATATTCACTGATTCAACAGTTATTGGAAGGCACATTCCATAATCCTTTTAAGGAAGGGAAATTTGACATGCAAATTCTTACAACAAGAACTCACAGGCTTTCGAGTGCAGTCATTACCAATTTTTTAACACTGTCTTTTTAAAAAAAGAGGCTACTACATGCTTTCATATCACTCATATCGTGTTAAAGGACCCAATTTCAGCATCATGTACATGAAGTATCACGCTGGATCTGAGAATTAATGTTTAAATTGAGGGACAAATAAAAATGTAAGCTCAGAGTTCCAATTTGCCCAGGGGGTCAATTTAAGTTTGCAGTTAGTTTATATTCGGCACCACCTGGTGTGCACTGTATACTGTGTGAATTACTCATAATAAACAGATATGTTGGTTTCTTTAAACAGTAGCAAGAAACATGCTTGCTGTGCAGGACCTGGGCGGCCCCCAGAGAGGGAAATGAAAATTCCGTGCCTAGATTTGTCCCTTCCTATTTCATCTCCTTTCTTTGTTTACTCCTTCCTCCTTTTCACTGCAAGGTTATTTCCTTAATCCTCCTGACCCCATCTGCAAGGTTCCATCCTGTGCCACATTGAAAAATCTCTCAGAGGCACCTGAGCTCAGCAAAACAATATTTTCTTTTTTTCCTACTAAGTAATAAAGCAGACTCAACCTCATTAGACTGACTAGGCAAAGAGGCAAAGTGCTGTTTACATCTACCCCATAGCTCCCCCTGGAGCTCCTGGCATCGGGTCCAGGACAGCTCCCAAGGGCCCCTTCGCTGTTCTTTCTTTTTTCCTTACATGACCTTTATGAAGAGTAATTAATTTTGATTTCTAAGCAATAATAAATTACAGTTGAAAGACTCTAGGCACAATACTAATATTTTCCCTGAAAGCCAATTTAGAAGAAATCCCTGTTCGAAGAAGTAAGATGTAAAACAATGGCAACTGAAATAAATATTCTAACTGAATGGTCCCAAGCACTGTCAAAAGAAAAAGGACAGTGTAATCTGTCTCTGCAATAATGGGCATATAATAGTATGATCGTTTTCAGCTCATTTCCCCATCCTGCTGGGCAAAAGCTGGCTCAGATAAGGAAAAAGAGCCAAACGAACTGGAAGGAAAAAAAAACCCAGCAATTATTTTTGATGCCTGGTAAACAGCCTGCGCCAGAGGCTTTTCTGGCTTTCAGATATGCTTTCTTTTCTTTCCATGTGTCTGTCCTCCCTTGAAGCTGTGGGATGGGGAGGTCTAAAAATAGTCCATGAATCACGGCGGATCATATTGTGCAGCAGTTACATAAACAGCCGGCCCGGGCGCCCGGACCGAGAGTAGGAACGGAAAGTATCTGGGTCAGGGTTGTCACTCTGAATAGGGTCCCCCGGAGCCGGCCTGCGGGAGGCGCGGCCAGGGAGGAGGCTTGGGCCTGTGGGCCGGAGCAACAGGGCAGCAGCGGGCCACTGACGGGAGGGAACAGAAGCCCCGGGCCAGGCGCGGGCGGAGGCGCGAGCAGGGCGGGCGAGCCCCGCACTCTCTCCCCATGGCCCGGAGCGGGCCGCGGTGGCGGCGGCGCTGACAGGCCCGGGGCGGCGCGGGCTGGGGCCTGGGGCCGAGGGGAAGATGAGCGCTCTCCTACAGCAGAAGGAGCAGCAGGAGAGGCTGCGGGAGGCCGCGGCCTTGGGGGACATTCGGGAGGTGCAGAAACTGGTGGAGAGCGGGGTGGATGTGAACTCCCAAAATGAGGTCAACGGCTGGTAAGTGGGGAGAGGGGGAAGACCAGGGTCAGAGCAGCCGGCTCGAGCGTGGGGCGGTCGCCCGTGACCTCGGCGACGCCAGCTAAGGCGTGGCCTGGCGCCCGGGGCCTCGGAGGTTGTGCGCTCTTGAAGCTAGTCCTGGCCCCCCTGCCTGGTGTAGTCTGGCGCGCGACCTGCCTAAATCCAGGCCCACGTGGGCTTTCCCGGGCAGCGCCCACCCGACCCCTGGCGTCTCCGCCGCTTCAGCATCCCCTGGCTAACTTGGCCTGAGAGGTGCTGGCTATGGTTCTCACGCTAATCTGGAGCTCACCCCAGTTCAAGTGTTGAATTATTTTGCCATAGATGCTTCTGAAGAACAACATATCTGTAGAGTAAAAAGCATAAGCAACTGAGCAAATGTGAATCTTATAAACTAGCACGATTTCTTTTCTCAAGATCAGAAAAAAGCATCACTTGCATCACTGTTCTGCTTCTCTGTTGCCTCTGCAGCAGTGATTGCTGCTGCTTGTAGCTGCCTGTTGAGGGAAGACGCATTCGTTTATGCTATAGTTTTGCTTTGTTTTCCTATTATAGTTTCAAGTAGAGAATTTAATCCAAGGATTTAGATGCCTGCCTGCAATTGAGTCCTTCCCAATTAAATAAGGAGTCTCATTTTAAGAGCTGTCGGTGGTTAAATTTTTAGTGTTAAATTACTGAATGTGGTATTATTCCGTTCTCTTCATGTTTACATTTAAAGTTTTTATTTGATCCTGCCTATTTTGCTAGCTTAGACTTAAAATAAATTTGCAAGTGTTTTATTTATTTATTTTTTTAAGTGGAATCGTACATTTGGAACTGAAGGGGACATTGGAGATGGTTTCAACTCCAGAGAATAACGTGCCCTAGGTCACACAGCTATTATTAATAGGATAGCCAGGACCAGAACCACGATTTTCTGACTCCTCACAAAGCTATCTCCCTCCTTACCCTAAAAGAAAAAAGCCTGGGTAGCAGTTGAGAAAGCCAGGAAACTGGAGATACTGCTGTTTTGTTTAAAAGTGTTTGCAGACAAGTTTGCAGTTCAGTATGTATCTTGTCTGAGCATTGTTGGGTGGTTCACAAGCTGTGAGTTCCTGTTCTGGCACTGGGAGGCAGTGTTGGGTAGATGAATAAGTGGTCTTTTCTTGCAGGTTCTTCTCCATTCCTGCCTATTGGAACTTCCTGGGGTCACTTCATTTTCCAATTATTTCTCAAGAGTGTTGTGAGCATTTAATGAGATGAAGCATAATATAAATAGCTAACATTTACTGAGCTTGTTCAGTAGCACAAACGAGGTTCTAAGTGCTTTACATGTATTATTCACAACTACTCAGGGACCTAGCTTTTATTATTCTCTCCATTTTACAGATGAGGAAACTAAGGCCCAGAAAGATTAAGTTATTTCCCCAAGGTCATAGAATTTACAAGAACTAATGGAGCTGGGAAATGAGCACAACATTGGACTCTAGACCCCTTTCCTAACTGTAATGCCTGCCACATAAGAGGTGCTGTTAAAAAAAAAAACAAACACTACAGGCCGCAAGGCCCCACGGACAGCAAACCAAGACTTTATTGCAGTTTCAGCCTCTCCCAGAAATGTGACCTTAAACCAATCAGAGCAGGAATTTCCTGATCAAATGAGGTTATCTAATAGGACTTCTGTTGCTCTCCCCCCAACCCCCCCCCCCCCCGCCTTGCAAAAAGTGCACTGCTTGAGGGAAGAAAAAAAAAAATCCTTTCTTGGCTTCTGCTAATAACTTCCTTGTTCCGGTCACTTTCTGCCTATAAACCTTTCATTTTGTACAACTTCTCAGAACTCCCTTCTATTTGCTAGATGGGATGGTGCCTGATTCATGAATTAATAAAGCCAATTAGATCTTCAAATTTACTCAGTTGAATTTTGTTTTCTAACAGTGCTCAGTTAACGTAAGTTGAATCTAAAGTAGTCTCAAGAGGCTTCTTATAGATTTTTTGGGACAGACATCTAATAGACACCTCAAAGTCAACATGTCAATGGTTGAATTCCTGGCCTCCTCTCCTCCTCAACTGCCCCAGGCGGGCTCCTTGGTGTCCTCCTCTTTGCAGCATTGGAGGTGCTGGAGCCCGGACCCTCGGGGCCATCCTTGCTTCGGTCTTTCCCTCACACCCCCACACCCCGTCATTCTGCTAATTCTGCCAGGTCCTCCTTCAGCTACAGTCAGAATCTGACTGCTTCCCACTGGCTCCACCACCACACCCCTGGTGCAGAGGCGCCGTCGATCTGTCCCCTGGATCTTTGCCGTAGCCTCCTAGCTAGTCTCCTCACTTCTACCCTTATACCTGATGGTCTTTTTTCAATGTAGCAGCCAGGGGGATCCTAACTTAAAACGTAATTTGGATCATTTCACTCTGCTTAGAGTCCTTTAATGGCTCCCATCTTGCTCTGAGTAAAAACCCACAGGGTTCTACAGTTTCTGCTCTTCTTCCCCGGGCCCCCTCCTTACCTCTATGCCTCATCTCCGGATCTACCCCTTGCCTCCTTCATTCTGCTCCCCTGGCCTCCTTGCTTTTCCTGAAACATCAGGCACAGACAGCCCTGATTCAAGACCTTTTGTTTTCTCTTCCTTCAATCTAAAATGCTTTTGCTCTCTCATCTCCTTCGAGTCTTAGCTTAGATGTCACCTTGGTGAGCCTTTCCTTGGCCCTCAATTTAAAATTGCACCACTGTATCTCAAAGCTGGGGTGCGGGGGAAGACATCACAAGGAAAGAAATAACAAAATAAAATTGCACCATGCCCTTCTCTGCTTCTGGCATCGCCTAATTCCTTTCCTTGCTTTATTGTTCCTATAGCGCTTAAAAACAGCACGTCATAACCACCAAGCATACTGTTTGTTTTGCTTATTTGGTTACTGACTACCTCAGTTTCTTCATCTCTGAAATGGAGGAAACACTAATAGTGCTTAACTCATGGGTTGTTTAGAGGCTTAAATGTTAATATATGTATTGCTTTGAGACCAATGTCCAGCATGTAAAGCATTATATCTGTTTATTTTATAAGCAGTGTGCTGACTAATGGGATATAAAGATTACCCTCGAAAAACTTACTCCCTAGCATAGAAAAGCTTTCCGTTCTTAGTTGCTCAGTAACCACAATTTCAGCACTGAGACCGGTGCCCAGGGCCTCTGTTGTGAAGTACTTCCTAGCTTGTTACAACAACTTACGTTTCAAGCCCATGCGATAGACATCCACACACAAACACACTCTTGGTTACCGTTTGCCCAGAATCAAGGATGTATTGGATCCTTCTACTCCTAGCAACATCTACCTTGTTCTTGGTTCACTCATTCAGCAAATATTAATTAAGCAGTTGTTTGTCCAAGCAGATATGTCCTTATCTCCATGGAGCTTGTGCGGTAGAAGTCTAGATCAAGATTCTTCCCTTACTTTTCCCAAATTGGCAGTCATTTTGTCATAGAGCTCACCTTAAAGACACCTGAATAATCTAATTCTAATCGACAATTGTATGGAACGTCACTCTGAAACATCAGTGGAGTTGCTCGCAGCCAGCCAGACAAGCCAGCTTTCTGTGAGTCATAGATGTTAGGGTGCCCAGGGTAAATCAGCTTTTTCCTGGAACCAAATGAACTTTCTAGATATTATATTTCCCAGGTGAGTGACCTAATCCTCACTATTGAACATATGTTCTGTTCTTTGCCAAGCCTGTACTTGGCTATAAGCTCTGAAGATACTTATCTCAGTTTAATTAGAGAGTTGGTGAATGAGGATATTTCAAAACAGAGTTGGGAAAAAGTTTTTTTCTTCCATAATATCATTCAGCTTTGACAACTGGGGATGAACTTAGTAGCTCTGAATCCTTTCATTTGTTAAAATGGAGTCTTTGCTGGCATGCTAATTAAATTTCAAGACAGTTTTAAAATAATAGCCCTTCAGTGCATGCATAACCCCTATGTGTACACTCTTAAATAATTACTTTCACTTAAATGAGCCTACTATGGTAGAAGAGTTGTTAAAATTTTGGTTGTTGATGTACATTTTTAAAATGCCTTAGGATTTGAAGTCTGTTTAGTGCCTTACATCTAAGCAGATGAAGGTAGGTTTGTAGCCTTCTGGAGAGAACAAGAGAAGCCAACTATTTTAAAAATGGAAATTTGGAAACTTTTTTTTTTTGGCGAGTGTGAAGGAATGAAAAAGAGGAAAAGGGAGTAACCTACTGAGATTCAGACAGTAATATCTTCTGTAATAATTATAATTTTAGTGTCAGAGCAAGCTTGTAGAGAAGAGATGGTTATTTACCTGATAGTATTTAATCTTCAAGTGATATTTAATGCATATGAAGCAAGAGTCCATAGTCTCTAAAAAAGGAATGCAGCCCTGCAAGAAATATTTTAAAGAGATTGGAACAATCTAATGAACAATACTGATAGAGTAACACTCAGCAATACCATTAGAATTATCTAGCCAGCCAGCCTGGCAGCCTTCTGGCAGCCATTGAAATTAAAGCTCCTAGGACAAATTAGTTTCTCCCAAGGGCCAGAAATGAAATTTAAAAATAAATTTTAAGCATACTAAATATTTTGCTCATCTACTTTCTGAACAGAAAAAAGTTGAGATTACCAGCCTAGTTTCCTGATTCTAGCTGAACTCTCGCACACATTTATTTACTAACATCTAGAATTTGAAATCCCAAATCACTTCTCTTCTTTTTAAATCCCTCTTTTCTCCCTCTTTTCTTTGGGGCAGGACCTGTTTACACTGGGCATGTAAACGCAACCATGGTCAGGTGGTCTCTTACTTGTTGAAATCTGGAGCTGACAAGGAGATTCTTACCACGAAAGGAGAAATGCCAGTCCAGCTGACGTCAAGGAGGGAAATCCGACAGATAATGGGGGGTGAGTCAGGGCTTGGGGGCGGCTTTGGATTTTGTCAAACTAATTTAAGACTTGAGGTGTTGGCTGCATTCTTGATACCATTCAGACAATCAGCCTATTTCTAAAAGCAAAGACTGTATTACTGTGCCACGATAGTAATTCTGTGTTGTTTCTGGAAAGGTAGGCATTATAAGGTTTCATTTTTTTAATCTGTAAAGTTTAAGATGATAAAAATGGTAATCATAAGCCTGATAAAATATTCTTCTTCTTCTGGCGCCAAGAGGCACTAAACACAGACCAAAGTACTTACCATAGACTGAAGGACACCAGCTCTCACAAGACATTCTTTTCTTGGTAAATTTTAAAGGGCTATGTAAAGGTTCTGTGTTTTCTTTTTAAGTGGAAGATGATGATGGTGGAGACAACCTCCCCCAGACGAAGAAGGAGTCAGAGCTGCCCTTCGTTCCCAACTATTTGGCCAACCCAGCCTTCCCTTTCATCTACACCCCCGTGGCAGAAGATTCGGCCCAGCTGCAGAACGGGGGCCCCGCCACACCTCCTGCATCGCCCCCCGCAGAGGGCTCTCCCCCGTTGCTCCCCCCTGAGGAGCCTCCCCTGCTCGGGGCCTTTCCGCGGGACCACACCTCTTTGGCACTGGTTCAGAATGGGGATGTGGCTGCCCCCTCTGCTATACTCAGAACACCAGAAAGCACAAAACCAGGGCCTGTTTGTCAGCCACCAGTGAGTCAGAGTCGATCACTGTTCTCTTCTGTCCCATCCAAGCCACCAGTGTCCATGGAGCCTCAAAATGGGACATATACAGGACCAGCGCCAGCATTCCAGCCATTTTTCTTCACTGGAGCATTTCCATTTAATATGCAAGGTAACCCCTTGTCAGCACACAGCCTCTGCAAGTGGGCAACAATATCCAGAGGTCTAGTGCTTTACTTCCTGATTTTGGGGGGAGGTGTGGTATTTATTCATTTTGAGTATAATTATAGATTTACAGAAAAGTTACTAGTATAAGGAACTCTCTTTACTCAGATTCACAAATTATTTATTAATACCTTCTGCCCTTTTACCTTGAACTGTTTAAGTGTATATTTCCTAAGAGCAAGGATAGTCTCTTACATAATTATATATAGTAAAATTATCAAATTTAGGCAATGTAACCTTGATATATAATGCTATTCTCTAATCCATAGCCCTTATTTAAATTTCTCAACAGTGCCCTTTGTATCTATTTTCACTCACTCCGCCCCTGCCCCTTGCCCCAGGTTACCGGGTTACCGGTATCATTTGGTTATCTTTTTGCTTTAGTCTCCTTTAATCTGGAAAATTTCCTCAGCCTTTCTCTATCATTTTGGACCTCAATATTTTTAAAGAGTTAAGGCCCACTATTTTGTAGAGTATGATTTCCTATCATCCTTTATCAGTTGGCATTCTACTGTAAAGGAGGGCTCTCCATGCTCCACTTATATCAGTATAAACTCATAGATTCATATTCCATTCATTGGGTTATAATTCATTAGTTATTTTGATGTTCAAATTATGTCACATTTACCCAGAGGGAGCTTCTTCAAGCCAGTTCTTGTGTCCCTTAGACATGTCTCATCATTCTTGGAGGACTACCTTACTTTTTCTTTTTTTAATTGATTTTTTAGAGAGAGAGAAACAAACATTGGTTTGTTGTTCCACTTATATATGCATTCATTGGTTGATTCTTGTATGTGTCCTGACTGGGATTGAACCCGCAACCTTGGGGTATCAAGACAATGCTCTAACCAACCGAACTACTTGGCCAGGGCAAGCACTATCTTACTTTCTTGTCCAACAAGATGTTTACTCCCAAAATGAAAACTCCTCCCTATGATTTGAAAACTGTATTCAAATCATAATTAGACTTTAATTTTTAATAATGTTTTTTTGCCCCTTTACTGTGTTTAATGCAAAGAATTTCATATTTTGTAAATATCTTTAGACCCACAATTGTTAAATCTTTTTAGAGTAATTCATATACTATATCGTTTGTCTCTCTTCTCCTTCCCCTACATATCTGTAATTTGATTCCCAAACCCATGCTTAAGCCTTTAATCTCCTTAGTTTCAGCAGCAGAAATAAATTATCCTCTATACAGTTGCGATGGTTGTCCCCTCCCCAAACCACCACCACCCCCCTTTTTACTTTGTGAACCCCATACAGTCTTAAATGCAGAGAGGACAACACAGGACACGGTGCCAGCAAAGCCGAACTGGGCTTGAGCAAATCTCACTGATGGTGCTTAGTTTTTCTCACTGGGTGGTACAGACATGACTAAGTATAACTATCTTCTGAAAAAGATCTTAAATTACATAACCGATTATGCCAGAACCATTCATTAACATTTCTCCCTCTTTTTTTCTAGAGCTAGTACTCAAGGTGCGGATTCAAAACCCATCTCTTCGAGAGAATGATTTCATTGAAATTGAACTAGACCGACAGGAACTCACTTACCAAGAATTGCTCAGAGTGAGTTGCTGTGAGCTGGGCGTTAATCCAGATCAGGTGGAGAAGATCAGAAAGTTACCCAATACTCTGGTAAGAAAGGTAAGGAAAGATCAGTGAAGTATGAGTTATTGGTTGCTTTTTGCATTTAGAAAATACCCAGTTTCCTTCTTGGTTATATGAATCATAGTTGAAGAAATGAAAAGATAATAGAAAAGAAAGAAAAGGTGGTTTTCCAAATGTAATCACTGAGCTTTCTTTCCCTCTACTGGGCCTGTAGAGACACTGCGTTTTTGAAAGTTGAAGGATACCAGAGAGAATTTTCTGAATAGGCTTCTGGCTTCTCAGAGCAGCTGAGTAAAACTGATGCCTACATTGCCTCTCCCTTCAAGGTCTGCTGATCCTATAGCAGCGGCTTTTAAGGGCTTCCACCATCCGGGCCCAGCTCACGCCCCTGGGGGCTCTCCTGTCCTATCAGTGACAGCCTGCCACAGGCATTTGTTTTGCTTTTAGGTTTTAAAATGAGCCAAGATACTGGTATCAACTCAACACAGCATACCAAATATATAGAGACAAGTGGCTTCTCTTAATCTGATTAACCTATTTTTGTTTCAGGACAAAGATGTTGCTCGACTCCAAGATTTCCAAGAGCTGGAACTGGTTCTAACGATAAGTGAAAATACTTTTCTGTTCAGAAATGCTGCATCCACACTGACTGAAAGGCCTTGCTACAACAGGAGAGCTTCCAAACTGACTTACTAATGCAGCAGGCACTGTTCCCACCGAGCGCTGCGGCAGCGCACGTCCCCTCTGGGCCGAGGACAAGCCATCGATCTAAATGCCTTGGATGCCCGGGAGGGCCCCTGGTGCCCCTGAATAGTGTACATTAACATTGTTCTGCCAAGGTAGGAAGTCCCTGACCCCCAAGCAGTGGTGCCATTCTTCAAGCCTCTTGGTGCACAATAAACCTATTGCTCGAAGCTGTGAACAGTGGTCTGGGAGGCAGAAGCTGACCGTTTCTACATCCAGTGTGTTTTACATGTAGCGTGTTAAGAGAGTTGTCCAAGCAGAATCTGAGAGAGAGTGAAGCCTACTTCTAGTCATTCCTGTTGACGGTGCACCTGAAGGGCCGGGATGTGCTTTTCTTGGTGTTGCGTGCTCACAACTCTCCTGAAATGTGAACCGATTCGAGAGGAAAACTGGGGAAACACAGGTACTGGACAAATGGGTTTTAGCGTGACTTGTGGCTGTGAGGTTTCCTATAACATATTTATAAATGTTACTCAGGTTAAAAGTATTTAAGAATACAATTACCTAATTGTAAATATGCTGTTAACCAAAAGAGCTTCCCCTCCCCTACTTTTTCCTTTGTAAACACTCATGACTGCTTCTCTGTCTCTAGCCAGCCGTTGCCTAGACAGCCATCTCTGCATTAGCTCCCCTTCCTGGTCACTAGAGGGCTCTCCGATGCCTTCCAAAAGAGCAACCACTTTTTTTAAAAAAATATTTTAATGAAGTGATTCCTGCCATCCCCATTTAATTGCACCACGTGAGAAGAGCACAAACATTGCCTGTCCATGTTCTCCACTTTCATTTTCCACTAGAAATGAAAAGCCGTTTCTGAGACTGAATCTGTTGCTGTTTTAAAGGTTATTGTGGGAAACTGAACTAAAGGAGTTAACGTATTTATTTTTGTATCAAAGAGAAAGGTTATTTTGAAATTATTAGGATTTTTTACAACTCCGAAATCTGTTGGTTTTGTAAATGAATTCTTTGATCTTGGGACTCCCCCACGATCCCCACCGATCCACTACTACCCCCAACAAAATTGAGTGTGAGTCTCCCAGGCTCGTCCCGGAAAAAACAAATACACACCCAATTAAACTCTTGATCATGGCATAAGAATTGTTTTAAAAGAATGCATTCAAGGATTCTTTTCCTTTCCTTCAGTGTCATTAATGTTAAAAGAAAAGCCACTGTCATGCTGAAACAAACAGTTTAACTTTAGAAATAAGAACGAGCACATAGACAGACAGGAGAGCAGGGCTTTGAAGCCAGCTGTTGCAGAGCATGCCTGCTGTCTTAAGAAGATTTTTCCCATAGTGCCTATAGTTTCTAAAGAAACTTAACCTCCTGTGTTAATTTTATGGGAACACGATTGAGAGAGAATGTGCAGAAGGTGTCAGTGGAAGGGAATGTGGTGCTAAGATGACGGCCTCCCGCTGCTGCCCAAATGCTGAGCTGAGGCTGAGGTGTTTTCAAGGCCAGCTTCATGGAGTCACTCTGTTCGGTGACTTAGTCTGTGTTCCAGCAATTACTGATGGTGACTTACCCTCGTGTAGCGTTTGCATGGCGGAGTGAAGGTCACTTACCACTCCTTTTCTCTGAAGTACTTTAAAGAAACCTCCATTGTGTTTCAACCAATCAGAAGCTAGTTTACCTAGACACACTAACCCTTTTTTCCCTTTTCCTTTGAAAAAAAAAAAGTTAGTTTAATGATAAAACTAAGATTCGTTCTATCTCGGAGGAAATCAGTTCATTATTAATTCATGTCCAGACCCCTGGGGTTGAAACTCTTGCAGCCATCCAGACCAGCTAGAGAGTCAGAAGCAGTGGGGGCACCTGGCTGGGAGGCGGCCTACAGAGGACTTGCTCCAGGACATTTTCAGGGCTTAAGGAACACTGGGAGCCAGGAGCTTGGCGTCTCAGGTGAAAGATGAACCTGACACTGGCCTCTCTTCTCCTGTATCAAGTCCTCTGTGGTCCAGTGACTCCTCTGTATGGCAGTAGGATAAGTCTGCACAGTTGCTGGTGGGTGAGTTTAAAGTCTTAATCTATGCATTCAGAGAAATATTTTTATATGCTTTGTGTAATTTATAACAAAGATTTTTTTTTAGCTTTGTTAACTGTGAATTCACCCCTCCTCCTCCACTGCATATTTAAAGCATGTGTTCACACTGTGCGTAAACATTCACTGAAGATAATTTTCTTTGTGCATTGCTGACTGTTCAAATATAATAAGTTATTAAAATTAAGTATTAACTGACCGAGCCCATAGTCTTTCATTTTGGGCTCCTAAACAGCACTGCATTTCTATCATACGGGGATCGAATTGTTGGACAGTCCCAGGGACAAGATGCCCTGGAGGAAGAATGGAAGGGACCGGTCCCTACCCGAGCCCCTCCATCCCGCTGCAGCCACGGCGCTCAGGCCCTGTCAGTGGCACCGGCGACAGATACCTGCGCGGTGCCTCTCCTCTCAGTTTGCAGCAGTCAGCTTCATTTCCCCGGAGCAGCTGAGCCAGCTAGATGGAGGTCAACCCCTGTTAACCACATTTTTTGATTATCCTATTTACTTTACACAACAGGCCTCTCCTTGGGGCTGTCAGCACCTGTCAGGGGCTCAGTGAGCTCAGAAGCAAACTCCCAAGACCAGAGAGGAAATAACAGCTTTACACTTTCAGATCTTCAGCTGAGAGCGATGCTGAATGAATCTGCGTTTCAGCTAGAGCCTCACAAAGCAGATGCCATGCCAAATTGGTCTAATAAATCAGGGAGCATATAGCAGAGACCTTTTCTTAGCACCAAGCAGAGGAAGAATAATTTGGGCATCTGTGCTTTCATACTTGTTTTATCACAGGGATGGAAGTCTTCTTCCATACACTCATAAAACTCCCTGAGCCAAAAGAGCCTGCCCCCCCCCCCAAAAAAAATGTGATTAACCTTTAACAAATGGTCCTGCAGCACGGACTGACCCAATGCACAGAGTGCAACTGGATCAAAGGAGCCGTCTCCACTCCTACTGCAAACCATTGAGGGTGGGGGAAGAAAAAACCGTCACACACAACCTGTCACATCATACCAAGAATAAAGACTGAGGAAATGAGAGAGGAGACCAGACAACTTAGCGAGGTAACAAAGAGAAGAGATCCATTCCAAATACAGGGTCTCATGCAGGTAGCCTGACCCGCAGAAAATAACAGTTGGCTTGCTCAAGAAAGGAAATTTAATTCACCCCGCATCTTGTTGACCAGCCTGGGACTGTCGGGGCAGGGCGACCCCTGGGCTGCCCTGTGCTCCTCCCACGTTCAGCTTCAAGCGGGCTGAGAAAGAGGGATGACTCGGCGGCCTCCCTGGTTGCGGGGACCTGTCTGGGACAGATTGCTTAAAGGAGCAAGGACATTGAGCACCATGCGCTTTGCAGCCCCTAGAGAAGCCGGCTCAGAGGTCTGAGGGAGGACATAAGCGTGGAGGTATTCACGGCAGCGTTCCCAAGAGGCTGCAGGTCAGATTTCAGGGGCTTTATTCCTCACCTTTTTATAGTATCTGCACAGCAGAGCAGGAACTGCTGGCAACAACCCATTGAATTTTGGCTGTGAAGACAATGTTTCCAGCCCAAAGCTCTTGGGTCCGAAGTCTTCAGAAATTCCAGCCATGTAGATGTGTATTAGAGTCCATTTCTGCCTCTCTCCCTCCCTGCCTCTTCCAAAGGTCCTAACCCCAACACCTGTGGCCAGGCAGAGAAAGCCTACATCAAGGTCTATGTTCTGAACAACCTTCATCTCACCCGTGCTCCATTTTTAATGGATTCAGGCCAGCACACCCGAGTACAGGACTTGGTTCCTAGGGACGGACTGACCCGGCAATCTTCTGTTCCAGGAGGAAAAAGCTTAATTTAAAAAAAAGAAACCCAAAAAACAAACCTTTAGAATAGAGAATATGAAAAATCATACAGGGATATGGAGGTCATTCCATGAAATTTCTGCAAGCCGTATAGTGGGAAAATAACACGAGACTGGGAATCAGGAGGCCCGGGACTAGTCTGGGCTCTGCCGCAAACCGTCTGACCTTGGGCATGCCGGGCTCCTCTGGGGCCTCGCTTTCTCATCTGGAGCATGTAGCATGATTATCCTGTAAAGTGCTTCACAGGGGCAAAAATCTAGCAACTGTCCCCAGCAATTGCTATCAAGTCCATTCTGCAGACGTAGTTGGTGTCCTTTCCGTTTCTGAAGAAAATCGAGAATGGCCAGGAGGAAATCCCAGGAATATATTTCAGGCAAGTCCAGCGTCTCTTGCCATCCCGTAGAAGATGCCTCTGGCTGCTATAAGGTTGGTTGGAGAATCAAATTCAGCTATTGTCCCTTTGTCCAGGACCAGGACCCTAGCCAAGGGAAAGAAGCGGTCAGGTCTCTGTCAGCCCAGACCTGGCCTCATAGCCCAATCCTGCCCTTTTGGGTACTTCTCAGGCCCTGCAGTGACATGCCAACCCTCCCACTTCAGTCAACCCACCCAACACAGCCGCTACGCCACATGTGCACACTTGCAAGCCTGGTTATTTTAGCTGCTCCATTTGCTCTCCTGGCAAATGAGGTAGTTTCTGGGATCAAACACAAGGTTCCTATTCATCTCTGCTAGTCAGGTATCTGAAAACCTTCCCTAATGAGCCTTTCCCCTCGCCAGGGTCGCAGAACTGTGCGTGGGGAGCCTCCGACCTGTGTATTGGGCTCTGTGTGCTTCCATCCGCTTTGTGCCAACTCACAAAGGCACGCGGCAGGAAACCGGGCTGCAGTAAGCCCTGACACTGGAATCTGGGGCTTTGGCTGCAAATCTGGCTGCTGCTGATGGGTTGCTCTCTCCCACCCCCCCACCCCCCCACACAGTGGCTTCGGATTGGATTATCCCACCAGCTAATCACAGGGTGCACCTGGTACAGGGCCAGCAGGCTGGCCCCCAAGGGGAGGCCAGAGTGTAAAACCCCTGCCCCCCCAAGCCTGGGGAGATGCCCCTGGATGGGAGGGTGTGGACCACACTCTGTTTCCCCACCTGCGGGGTGCCTGGAAACATGTTCTGGGAAGGAGTGTGTCTGTGGACATCACTGCTTGAACATTTCCCATACTGGAGCGCAGGAGCCTGTCCCTTCCTTCCGGGGGCTTCTCATTGCATTTAGGGTATGGGATGATTTACCCTGGTCCTAGAAGTGCAGCATAGCGGGGCCTATCCCTCTCTCCCCCCCTCCTTGGTTCTATGGCCCTCTTTGCCCTTTGCACTCTAGCCTCATGTGCCTTCCTGCCTCAGGGCCTTTGCATGTGCTGTGTCCGTTGCCTGACATTTTCAGCTCCATCCCCACCCCATCTCCTCCCCAATTTCCCAACTCCTACTCATCCTTTCGGGCCTGACTGGGCTTCCCTTCCTTGGGAGAGAAAGTGTCCTGGCTGCCCTGGGTAAAGTGGCTTTCTCGCCCTCAGCCCCTTCCCGCGGACCCCTGTTTCCTTCCCTTAGGCTTTAATTACATGTTCAGTTGCATCATTATTTGATTAATCTCTGTCAGCCCCACTAGGATAAATAACTCCCCACCCAGTGGGTAGGTTTGAGCCTTCTCCCCTCAGGGCTGCTGGTGAAAACCATTTCCAGTTAGTCCTGAAAACAGATCCTCTCAGCCCAGTCCCGTCCCTTAGCTGGACCCAGGGCCAGCACTTATGGCCCATTCTCCTGTCTCTTCTCCCAGTGGGGTTCTGGATGGCAGTGGGGTGGGGTAGGGATGGAACCTACAGACCACAGCATAGGGCATTCTCAGCTTGGTGCCCAAGCCCCCGTGGGCTGTGTGGGGACACTTGGGAGGGAGGAACAAGGGCTGCCCATTGCTGTGTCCATGGCCGCTCCCTGCCTCCGCACGCCCTGTGGCTGTTTACTTTGTGAATGAAGGCCTCTCAATGTACTCTCACCATCCCCCTTCAGCATAGATTTGTGGCCCGTGTCCTGCCTCCTCTTTCTTACTCTGAGCTCCCCTGTCTCCAAGGGGGCCAGCTTGCTGGGCCAGCGCCAGCTCCCTTCCATGAGGCTTCTGAGTCACCTCGCCCCTCCCCTTGTTCTCCAGCACCGCACTTTGACATTGGGCACAATGAGGGAATAGGTCGCAGTCCTTCCCCTTTGGCTGTGTGAGCTGTCTCCCCAAAGAAGCCATAAGATTCCGTGGGCAAGGCCCCTTCCCTGATCCTCCTGAGGAAAGGATACTAGGGAGAATTGCAGTAAGGAGCTGGGGAGGACACTGACATTTCCCAGGATCTCATTGACTCAGTTTACTCTAACCCTCAGAGAAAGAGGTTCAGGAAGTTTCACCGAATTGCCCAAGGCCACACATCTCTCCTGTGTCCAGGTAACCTTCATCTGCCTGCCTCTTCCCAGCGGCCCAGGTGACCCCAGCAGACCCTTCCCTGCCAGGGTCCTGGTGCCCCACCTGGTGTAGTCCATGATGGTGTTGAGCCGATGCGCGATGGTCAGCACCGTGCAGGTCTCAAACTGCGTGCGGATGGTAGCCTGGATGAAGTCGTCAGTCTCCAGGTCAATGGCGGCCGTGGCCTCGTCTAAAACCAGGATCCGGCTCTTGCGGAGAAGGGCCCGGGCCAGGCACACGAGCTGCCGCTGACCCACACTGAGAATGGGGAAGGCAGACATCTCCAGCCGGGCGCTCCAAACTGCCCCCGGGCCTCACTCTCCCAACCTTTTCTGTCCCTACTCCTTCCCAATGGCCCAGACTGGCTTTCTGTCTGAGCTCTTTCATTGCACCTCAGCCCTGTCCTCCTGGAACAAGAGTCGAGAGGAGGTCTGGACACCCCAGGATTAATGAGGGGCCTTGAGGGTAGAGCCAAGTGTTCAGCAACATAAAATCTCCAGTCTGTCCCTGGCACCTTTCTCTGCTTTCTTCCCCCTTCTCACTCCTCAACTAGTGCCATGATGTTTCTCTGCTTCACTCTATCAGTCATTTACACCTTAGTAAAAACACACTTGAATGGTTCTTCCCGGATATCTGCACACATTACGCCATCTGGCTGAGCCTAATATCACACGGTTCAGACAGTTATCTCCCGCTCCTGTGGGAAATACAGGCCAGGACCATGGGAACAAGGGAAGGGACAGGGCAGGGAAGGCCCTGGGGGACTCCCCACGTCCAGTCACTAGGGAAGAAGCGGAGGGGCAGGAGGCATACCTTCAACCCCTTACCTTGGAAGCCAGAGCTAGGGAACAAAGCAAGGCTGTGTTCCCAACCACAGAGGCTGCAGTACCCCCACACCCAAGGACAAATACCTCAGCCCTTCCCAAAGGGGTGAGTCACCACAGCCGGAGTGAAGGCCAGACTCCCTCCCTGGCCCATTCCCGCAACTAATGAAGGTTTTGGCAGCAGAATGAGCCGCCAGATAGAATTCAGGGCTGATTTATGGTGGGACTGGCACAGGATACAGGTTATACTTAAAGAGGCTACAAGCTCGGTGAGGGAGGAGGGGAGCCCATTTCTCTCTCAGAGCCTGGGGTGCATGGGGATGGAGGGGATGTTCTGGGGGTGGTGCTGGTGGCAAACAGGACCAGGAGAATGGGCCCCAAAACAGCTCTGCGGGGCAGGATCTGGCCACTTAGGCTTGTCTGCCAGCTACCCTCAACACAGCTGTGTAAGTAAAATTCCACTAACGTGCACATTCAGTCTTACAAGGCTGCCTGTGGGGGAGGCAGGGGCATCCCACTGGTGGCTGGAGTGCAGCAAAAAGATCTGGGCACGATACCCCACTTGCCTGAGTTCCTGCCCCTCCCCTTGCTAGCTGAACAATCTTTGGGGCCTCACGTCTGGCCCACAGGACTGCAGCAAAGGTTAAACAAGATAGTGGAGGCCAAAGTGTGTTGAGCACTACTAAGTACTGAGCAAATGTAAAGGTTTTTGTTTTTGTTTTTGAGGTCTGGAGAGAGTCCATGGGCATGGACCAAGGAGAATAATATGAATAATAATATGAATAGCTAAATAGCTCAGGAGTGTATATTGGCTAAGCACCTTCTATTAATCACAATGACCCTAAGACTGCTCTGTCCAAATGGCAGTCACTGGCCACATGTGGCTATTGAGCACTTGAAATTTGTCATCTGAGCTGGGATGTGCTGTAAATCTAAAAATACACATGGGATTTCAAACTTTGTGAGGAAAAAAATGTAAAATCCCCTGATAACTATTATGCCAATTACACATTAAAAAGATAGTATTTTTGATATATTGGGCTAAATAAAATACACTATTAAAATTTATTTCACCTGTTTCTTTTTCCTTTTTTTTTTTTTAATGTGGCTACTAGAAAAAATTTTAATTACACATACATGGCTCACATTGAATTTTTACTGGGCTGCACAGTGCAACAAGGTATAGGACTGTTATTATTCCCATTTTAGAGTGAAAGAAAAGGAGGCAGAGAGGTTAAGCAACTTGCCCCAAATCACACAAACGGGACTCGGGATTTGCTAACACAAATATGGGACTCTGAAACCTTGAGGTTCCGTAAGAAGAGATTTCTGGCTCTCCTTGATGCACAGTCCAGAGGCCAGGGATATAAAATCTCTGGCTATAAGAAAGCAAAGAAGAAAACCTACAGAGCTCACTTGGCCCATTCCCAAACTACAGACGGGATTGCATCCATCTTGGAAAATATCTATGATTTGCCTAAAGCACTGTAGGTTTCCTTTCGCCCACTCCGCAGGTTCAGTCCACACTCCCCGCCCAGGCCAAGCTGGCATTGAAAACCTACAGGACAACACGGAGTAGGGTTTTGGAATCTCCCAGACCTGGCTCAAATTCCAGGCATGCCTTCTCCTAGCTCTGTGACTTTGGGCCTGCCTCAGTTTCCTCATCTTCCAAGTGGGACCAGGGACCACCACGGGGCTTATGGGAGGAGTCAGTGAGATGGCGCACCACGCTTGGCACACACAATATGTTCAAGACAAACAATGCCCCCTAAGTGCGCCCAAGCTGAGACTGAAGTGAGGGGGACGAGAAGGGGCTGGCCTGGACTGTGGGTCATTTGATGCCAGCTCCCCTAGCTGGGAAGGGTATTGTTTCTGACCTGCCGCCTCCCAGCTGTTACCTGAGATTCTCCCCTCCCTCGGAGCACTCGAAGTCCAGGCCCGCTGGCTGGGAGTTCACAAATGTGTGCAGATGGGACAGCTCCAAGGCCCGCCATATGTCTTCCTCGGAGTAATTGCCAAAGGGGTCTAGGTTCATACGCAGGGTGCCCGAGAACAGAACGGGGTCCTGGGAACACAACAAGGCCTTAGAGGAAGGCAGCTTGGTCCCCATAACGAGCCACGGGCCCCAGAGCCAAGGAAAAATAAAGGGATTTGAGGTGGCAGCATTCCTACTCTGCCCCCAGGCTTCCAGCAGGGAGGTAATGGCCAAGGAGACAGAAAATGCCTGTCGGGAAATGATAAACCGTAGCTTTGCCAATCACAATGTCCTCCGCTTAAAGCAGAGACCAGAGCGCTAATCTGCCTCCAAAGTGTCCAGTCAGCAGGAAAAAAAAATACCCCAGAGGAGCCAGAAAAAGTGAAATGTAATTCAGAGCTGAGAAACAAGGAAGCTGCAACAGAGTGTCTTAGGAATGGGGCCCTTCAGGCGTCCGATGGTCCTGGCTCCATTTGCTGGCCCAGGAGGTTGCAGGGCAGCGTCCGATTGGGCCAAGGTACCCTTCCAAGTTCATAACAGGGGGACAATCTGTGGCGCTGCTCCTAGCCAGTCTTGGCCCTCAAGATGCAGAACAGGGGTCGGGTCCGTCTCCCCAGGCTCACTGGCCAGTGTGGCCAGTCCACGTCAGGGTCATACCTGGGGGATGATCGTCAGCCGGGAACGCAGGTCATGGAGTCCGATGTCTGCTATATTGAGGCCGTCAATGCGGATTTCACCCTCTGCGGCCTCCAGGATGCGGAACAGGCAGAGAGTCATGGACGATTTGCCAGCCCCGGTGCGGCCCACGATTCCCACCTGGAGGGGGTGGGGAAGGGCAGTTATGGGGAGGCATAGGGGTCAGTGGGGCCATCTCCTGGACTCCCCTAGAGAGGCCAAGCAGACAACTGGGATGGAACATCTGCTCTCCTGAAGACCTACTCTCCCACAAGGGGTATAGCCATGTCCCAGAGGCACAAGCCCACCCTACACGCACCTTCTCGCCACCGTGCACGCGCAGACTCAGATCCTTCAGCACCAGATCCAGGCCTGGCCGGTAGCGTGCAGAGTAATTCCTGAACTCCACCTCGCCCTGCATGGGCCAGCCCGCAGGAGGGCGGCTGCCCTCTACCACCCAGGGGGCCTGTAGAGGGGGGAAGATGGGTTCTGCATTAAGGCGACACCTGTTCACCAGCCTGTCCCCCTCCCTCTTTTCAGCCTCCCTGTCTCCTAAGGCTCCCTCCATTCTCACCTGCCATGGTCCCTGGCCGGAGTCACTGGTGCCTCGGTGGCCCTCTTTGTGGTTCAATGAATCCTTTACCCCTCTGCCTTTATTCCCCACAATGCTGCTCTAAAACCTCCTATCCTGCCCTCTCCTATGCTCTCCTTGTTTTCCATGCTTTGGAGTTGCCCCTCTTTCCCTCCCCCCGTTTCCCCTTTTGCCATTCATTATTATTGAGTGTGTACTCCGTGACAGGTACTGACGTGGTGAACAAGATAAAGCCCTTGCTCCCCCGAGGGTTAAATTCTGGTATAGGAGGTGTACAATAAAAAAATAAACAAATCTCATTTTTTGGCCTGGAGCACAGAATATAGGCCAGATGAGGTGATGGACAGAGGGACAAAGGCTTGGGAGTCCCAAGCAGGATTGGGAGTCCCAATGAGGACAAAGTACTGTGATAGTGGAGGGCTTGGAACACCTGAGCTGGGAGGGATGGGAAGAGTGGTCTAACATAGGGATGTTGGACAGAGATCTCAGGGATGGTGCAGCTTCTGGGCATGAAGAGGTCTGGGCTGTGATCATGGGAGGGTGTGAATAAAGAAACCTCCCAGTAGAGGACAACTCCCTTTCCCCTACAAAGGGCAGGCTGCCCCACTGCTGCTCCTTTGACCAGGCTGATGTCTTCGGCTGGATGCTCACCTCCCTGATCATACCAGCAAGAAAGATCCTCTTTGGATGCATCACCCCAGAGCTCTGGTCTTTCACCCCAGCACCCTGCAGTATGTCTTACCTCTCCCACTACATCAGAACATGCATAAGGGTAGACCCTGTCTTGCTCGACTGGGAAACCCCCACACCTCCTACTATAGACCTCTGGTTGATGCTCGGTAAGCATTGAATGGATAAATGAATAAATGAAGAGCCACCTGTGTAGCTGGCTTTGGGGTGTAGGGATGGTGGGCTATTGAGCACCCTTCCCCAGCTATTCCAGACTCCCCCAACCCCAGGCTCATCCCAGTACCCACCTCAGTTTCCGTCTTAGAGTACTCCTTGACTCTCTCCACAGCCACAATATTAGACTCCAGGTCTGATAACATTCGTAAAATCCAGTTCAGAGAAAATGTCACCTGGGCAAAGGAACCGGGTCATAAGTAGGGTGGTCTCTCCTTTCCCCCAGTGGCTCCTTGATTAAGCTCCTGTCCTGTCAATGACCTGGTGGGCCTGGGCAAGCCAGCAGGTGTGCCACCTGGGGCTCTAATTACAACTGCACCTCCGGCAGCGACACTGCAGACTTAACCAAGGGCCACCTAGGCCAGAGTTTCCTGAATGTCAATATGTATGAGACTTCCCAGAGAACCTTGCTTCTGATTCAGCAATTCTATGTTGGATCCTGAGATTCTGCATTTCTGACAAACTCCCAGATGATGTTGACACAAATGGTCCCTGGACCACACTTTGTGGAGCAAGGAGTCTTGAGAGACGCGCAGAATCCTGAGCCCCACGCTGGGCCTACCGCATCAGAATCCACATTTCAACAAGATCTCCAGGTAATTCACATGCACACTAAAGTTTGAGAAGATTAATCTATGTCTGGATTGCCCTTTGTTTACCAAAGCTTTTAAGACTTGAGCCACTGAGGCACTGAAAAATGTGATTTGCTTTACAAAATTCCAGTTGCGGTTCCTGACCTGCCCAACCTCTAGCCCAGGTACTCGCTCAGCAGGCACGTGAAATGAGGTGTGTTCTAGCCCTATACTTCCCTGCCCCAGGCACTGTCAAGAAGGACCTTCTAGATCTTGTGCACAGAAAAGACAAGTTCTGTTTGTGTTTTGGGGCCAAGCTCCAAGATAATTTCTCTAACACCCCAAGGTAGAGAATCTCCTCTCGGTTCTTATGTTTTGTTCCTCCCTCCCCCAAACCCACTCACCCAGCATTACACTGGGCAGAGCAAGGTGCTCAGGAGATGCTTGTGACATGTGTGTGGCCTCTGCTCCCTGCCCCGGTGGTGGCCCTGCCCTGAGGCCCGGACCCTTGCATACCTGTAGGGCATTGGACACAGAAAGGCCCGCCATTCCTGCACTCAGGCTGCTTCTCCCAATCACGGCGAACAGCGCAGCAAAGAGCACAACACAGTTCCCCAAGAATTCCACTCGGACCCCCAGCCACCTGCGGGGATCAGACAAGGAGGAACTGGGGCAGGTGCAGAAAGGGGGCAGTTTTATGATGAAGGGGAAGGTGGGGAAGGAGACCCAAAAACACCCGAATCAGACCCTAATGGGAGCTCCTGGAGGAGCAGGGGGTGGCGAGGAGGCTTCTGACCTGTTGGAGAAGATGTTGGGGTAGGCGCTCCTCAGGTTGGTGTCCACCTTAGCATCACTGAGGGCCTCAAAGTCACGGCTGCGACCATAGGCCCGGATGATGCTGGAGCCAGTCACCGACTCCGAAAAGTGGGAATAAATGGGCGAGCGGCTGACAGATTCCAGCCGCTTCAGTTGTCGTGATGTGGCCACATAGAAGCGCTAATGGCGGGTGGAGAAAGAGCTTGATGTCAGGCCCGTGGAACCCTAGCTCAGTCCTGCATACCTCCCTGAACCCTTCTGGGCCCCTCCCAGCCACCCCCCTCAACCCCTCCATAGACCTTGCTCCCTCCGTTTGGCTGAAAGAACCTAAGACAGGGGCCTGACGTAGCTCCTTGAACTCACTCTAGCCTTTTACTTCGCTTAGCTCTGCTCAGGAGATGCTTGTGGAGGCTACTTCCTCCACAAAGCGTTTCCCGATTCCCTCTCAGCTCTTGACCCCTTCCTTCCCTGAGGGGGCCTGGATTATAGCGCTGACCTTGCTTGGCCTTCTAAGTCACTGAATGTGCCCAGCTCCACCTAGGTACTTTAGCAAAGTGCTCACACAATCACATGTGTTTTGCAAAATTTGCAAAAATAAGATAATTTTGTATTCTCTTTCCTAAAGAGCTTCTTCCTCCCATGCCTCAATCCAGTTGTTTAAGCTTCACCTCCACAAAATCATGGTTCTGCCTCAGCTTCCATCCTCTACCCTGTGGACCCCAAGATGGCCAGAGCAGAACACGGTGTGTGTCTGAGAGTCCCCTGTCCCAGCGCAGGGTACATGCTGCACTTTGTACAGAGGGGCTTCTAGCCACCTTGTGGTTACCTTTGTCTACTGATTTATTCATGGCAGGACAGGGGCTTGGCGACACAAATGCCTTTTATAGTTAGCTATATCTGAGAGTTATCAACTCATCTTTAAAAGGCACGTACCCCTATGTGTTTAGAAACGTATAAAACAAAGGAAAAGATAACGTATCTCAAACTGTTCACAATATTTCGTTTAAAAAATAGAATGTATTTGAACAATAAAAAATTTTTGATTACAATAGAAAAATAAAATAAAAAATAAGAATAAAAAATAGCCAGTAGGAAGGAGTTCTAGGGCAAACCACAATTTACAAGGATTTCATTTCATCTTAGCAACAACCCTATGATTCTATTTTATGGGTGAGGAAAATGAGTTTCAAAGGGGGAAAGTAACGGACTGCTGTCCCTAACCAAATCCAGCTGCAAGATCCCTGGGGTCGCCCTCCCTGCATCCTACCCTTGGTCACCAGCCCACACAAAAGTCCTGCCCACCCAACAGCGCCGCCCACGCGGGCCCCTGTGCCCTCCTCCCACCCACTCCCTGAGCACCTGTGCAAACATGTAGAAGACAGCCAGGGGCAGGATGACCACGGCGAAGATGGGCGTGCTGACCACGATGACCATGAGGGTGGAGATGGAGGTGCTGAAGGAATTCAGCAGCATGAGGATGGTGGGGCCCAGAACCTCATCGATGATGTCGATGTCCTTGGAGAAGTGGTTAAGGATACGGCCTGAGGGTGTCGTGTCAAAGAAGGACTGTGGCGAGCGCATCTTGTTGTGCAGCAGCGCCTGGTGAAGCAAGCGGGCAGCCCGAAGGCTGCCCACCGTCACCGCGATGGACGACAGCACCACCAGGAGCCCTGTTGGAGGAGGCAGGGGGACGCTCACTCATCTGGGCCAGGTGGCAGGCACCGGGGGCAGGCTCAGAAGCAGGCGGACCACTACTGTGGGCTAGGGAGGCTTGGGGGCGGGGCGATGGCTGGGATGGTGGAGAGAAGGGCATGGCTGGGGGACTCAGCAGCTCAGAGGTGAGGAAGGGGCCCACTGGAGCCACTTCCAGGGATCGTTCAGGCTCACCTTGCAGAATTCCCAAGGTGGCGTAGACACTGAGCCTATGGGAGGTGTGGTTCTGTTGGCCACCCACCACAGCCTTGTTGGTCCAGTCACTGAGCCATACGTCGACTCCAACGGCAGTTGCACTTTGACCCGCATACAGCAGACACATGACCAGTGTGGTAGAGAGCCCCATAGCCTTGGCATAATCCCAGAACACGCTGAGCTTCACCTGCATTGCCATGGTGGTCAGGAACAGAGGACATCCGTGAGCCCCAGGACTGCTGGGGACCCGCCCACCTACCCTCTCCAGCCCTCCTTGTCCACCTTACTCACCTTGCCCTTCCCCACCTTCTCCTCCTCAATCAGCGTCTCATTTGCCTTCACCTCCACTGCCTGCACTACCTTTTCTGCCGGATCCAGATGCTTCCGGGGCCCAGCCTGACCTGGGCCTTCCCTGTCCAAGGACATGGCACTCAGCTGTCTGTGGAGGTAGCTGGTCAGGCCTGGAGAGGAGGCCTCTCTCGCACCCACAAGACAGAGCCCCAGGAGGGGAATGTAGGCTGCAGCGGAGGCCCCAGGGGGTACGAGTGTCAGAGGGAACACCCCACCTGGCAGGGCTTGGGGAGCCCTGACACAGCCTCCTGGGAGGCTGAGAGCACTCAGAAGCTGACCTTGTGAACTGTTTCTGGACCTCGTACATGACTGGTTCATTATCCACCAAGTCTGTGTGGCTGCTGAGTGTGTCTTCAATCAACGGCACCTCCTCATCCTCTGGATTGTTCAAGGCTGCTGCAGGGTGGGAGGAAGGAGACAGAGGTCTGCTGGCTCCCTATCAGCCCCCATTCCTACCCCAATGAAGAAGCCTGAATGGACAGGCATGAGATAAGTAAGATGAGAGGGGTTGAAAGGGCAGGGAGAACAATAATGACAAAAATAAGTGACCAATTTTGTCTTAGAAAAAGAAAAGGGCAGCAAGAAAGGCTTAGGTGAGAAAAGAAGAAAAACTTCCCATCAGGGGCTATGGAGAAGGGGGCTCAAACACAAGGGTTAGGAGGAGCTTGGGCTCTGAAGTCAGAGCAGCTGAGCTTAAATCCTACTTCCTCACAGCATGACTTTAGGCAGGCATGTAAAATGGGGATAATAATAGTGCCTACTTCATCATGTCATTGTGAGAATTAAAGGAACAGATGTGTGTCGAGTACTTAGCAAGGGACAGAGCACTGAGTAAGTGCTTAAGGCAGGTTAGCGGTACATACAGCAGTAGGTAAGAAAACCCAGGATGAGGTCAGGGAGCCAGCCCAGGGTTTGGGGCTGGGGAGCTGGGACTGGATGACAAGGGGCGGGGGACAGCGGTGTCTCATAAGCCCAGGGACTCCAGTATGTTCGTCCGGGACAGGGATTTTTCTGTTTGTCCACTGTTACCTCTCAGTGTTTAAAATAGTGCCTGGTCATAGTCAGTGCTCGATAAATATTTGTTGTTAAATAAATGACATTTCTAAGTACTTACATATGTACCAAAGAATTTATCTATGAAACAGCCTTGCTGTACAAGCTGGGCCCAGGCCCTATGTCCTGTGCCCTTTTGACAAATGGGAAAACGGAGGCTCTGAGAAATGAGTTGCTGATCCAAGGTCGAACAGTGGGGGAGGAGGAGGAGGAGGGACTTGACCATATCCAATTCCCTTGCCCTCTTGGTGATGTGTGACCATCACACAGAAGGTCTAAGATCCCCAGAACCTCCCTTGTACAACATTGGGCCTGTCCACAGATCTTCAGAGACTCCTCCCCCTACCTCCCACCCCCTCCACCACCCCACCAAGACAGGGGAGAGGCTGGTAGGACACAGGAATATGGAGAGCCAGGGATACCGATGCTGCTGTCCTCCTCTGGGGGGTCTGCACCCTTATCAGGTGCATAGTTGTGGAGGAAGTTGGCAAAGGAGCCGCTGCGCTGCAGGAGGGCTGGGTAGGTGCCCACCTCAGACACCTGTCCATTGGCTAGCACTATGATGAAGTCCATCTGAGGCAGGAAGCTGATGCTGTGTGTCACCAGCACCCGTGTCTGCGGAGAAGGCAGCGAGCTGTCACTCCCGCTGCCCCCAGCACAGCCCCCCACAACAGGCACAGGGTCACGGGGTGAGTTGAGGCAACTGTGTGCCCAGGGGCATGCACAGGCACATCAGGGACTCATCCCATGCTCACCGCGGCCAGCTCCTTGCATTTGGGCTGTGACCTCCACATGGGTTTCCCCAGCCACCCACCCCCACTCCTGCTTCTCAGATTCCCACACCTCCAGGTCTCACCCGAACCCCTTGGTCTCCCACCAGTTCTCTCCTAGGGCCCTAGATCTCATCTTAGCCCCTTAGCCTCCTGGAGGCCTCCTCACCTTACTTGCCAGCACACCTTCTGGTCCAATGACTTGGTCAAAGATGTGCTTGGCCACATGGGAGTCCACAGCGGACAATGGGTCATCCAGCAAAAAAACGTCGGCATCACTATAAACAGCTCGGGCCAGACTGACCCGCTGCCGCTGGCCCCCAGATAAGTTAATGCCCTGGAAAGAGGAGAGAGATGGGAAGTGGGTATTGGGTAGAATGGGTAGAAGGGAGTCAGACAGGCACAAGGGGGACAAGGGTCCTATCCACTGTCATTCAGCAAGACAGACCTCTAAATTCACATTTCATATGCCCGGTGCTGTCTCTGTAACAGGCCATGGAGAAAGGGTAGCGGCTCTCAGAGTCCTCCTGGGGCATGTCAGGACATCCTGCCCGCTTTGCTCCCTCACCCTGCGCAATGGTTCCTCTGCCTTCATACTCTAGGAGGCTGGAAATCCCACGGAGGTCCTTCATAGATGTTTTTCTTTTTAAAAAATATATTTTGTTTATTTATTTTCACAGAGAGAGGAAGGAAGGGAGAGAAACATCAATGTGTGGTTGCCTCTCGCATGTCCCATACCAGGGCAGGGACCTGGCTGGCAACCTAGGCACGTGCCCTGACTGGGAATCAAACCAGTGACCCTTTGGTTTGCAGGCCGGCACTCAATCCACTGAGCCACACCAACCAGGGCTCCTTCATAGACCTTTGAATCTTCCATCACCCATACAGTTTGCAGATGATGTTCATAGCAATTATCCCATTTGGTCCTCATGTCAGTCCTTCCAGGGAGGTATCATTAGCCCCACTTCCTACATTATGAAATTAAAACCCAAGACATTGATGACTTTGTCCAAGGTCCTGAACTATTAAGGTCCAAAGCAAGGACAGAAACCCAGCATGAACCCCAGAATTCATTGACCCTGAGATCCTTCTGGTGCCAGAGGGGAGGTAAGATCTTTCCTTAAAGCCATGATGGGGAAACTGATGCAGATAGCAGCAGGGCTGGGCCCCAGGACAGGCCCCAGGTGTACAGCCTGCTTTCTTCCCACCAGCTTTCCTCCTTCTTTCTGGAACTGAGCCCCGCTCTGTGGGGTACCCTGAGAAACTGACCCCTGGGGAGGACAAATGTGGGATGGAGCTGGAGCTTCTGGGGAGAATCAGGTGTAGTGACTGAGGCACGTGAGCATGCCTGCATTCAACCAACCGATCTTCCTTGAGTGCCTACTACATGCTGGGCACTCAATTAGCGTTGTGTGCGCGCGAGGTCGGAGTGGGTCCAAGGGAGGTGGGAAGGAGGAGTCGTGTCATAGATGGCGAGGTCTTCCCTGGGTTCCTATAACTTTGGACTCCTACTCTCCCCATTTCTTCCGCTCAGGCCCAGGCCCTCATCATTCCCCCAAACCACCATGAGAGCCTCCTCACTGGGTCCTGAGCCTTTGGGACCCTCCCACACTGTAGCTAGAGCAGCTTTTCAACTGTCCCTGCTTAAAACTCTTCACTGACAAATTGAACATTAAGATAAATAATGATGGTACAGGATTATAACCCACTGCATCAAATAAGAATCTACGAGCCCATGTTGATATAAAGAAATTAATGAATAAGTATAAAAAGGGGAAGGAGGAGGAATCTCTTTCTTAGAGTACGATGCCAGCTAATAACTATAGAATGAATAGAAGTAGAAAATTGCCATTTGGCAAACATCACAGTAAACACTGACTCAGGCAAGAATCATCAGTGAAAGTTATGAAATAAAACGATCAATGAAAGATACCACCTCAATCAAGTGGTCTTTGTTAACATTAACAAACTTAATATGACACAAATTGACATAACTTGCCTCCTAATAGTGTGCACCAAGAAGGACAAAACATTACTTCTTTGGTATTTCCCCTCAAAACATAATCGGAATCTAATTATGTTCAAATTGAGAGACATTCTACAAAATACTTTTCAAAAGGGTCAAGGTCTTACAAGACAAAGATTGACGAATTATTCAGATTGATGAGGATAAAGGGATATGACAAGTAAATGCAACTCATGATCCTGGATTAGATCCTAGCCCAGGAAAAAAAATAGCTAAAAAAAGACATTACTGAAACAAATGATGACATTTGAGTACAGACTGTGACTTAGATAGTAATATTGTACCAATGTTAAATTTCTTGATTTTGATAATTCAGCTATGGTTATGTAAGAGAATGTCATTGTTTTGAGGGAATATACACTGAAATCTTTAGTATTAAAAAACAAAAATGCTAAAACTCTTAGAAGAAAGCATAGAGGAAAAGTTTCATGACCCTGGATCTGGCAATGATTTTTTTGGATACGATACCAAAAGTACAGACAACAAAAGTAAAAATAGATAAACTGGATCACATCAAAATTAAAAACTTCTGTTTATCAAAGGACACAACAGAGTGAAAAGGCAACCTACAGAATAGGAGAAAATATTTGCAACTCATATATCTAATAAGGGGTTAAAATCCAGTACAGTAAGTCCTCACTCAGCATAAGTCATTGTGACTTAAGCTAAATGACTTCTAATGAAACCAACTGATATAACTAAGAGTTAAGTTCCTACAGCTTGTCATCACGTTATAATGAAATGACATAGAATGAAATGATGTTATTTGAGGACGTGCTGTATATATAAAGAACTCCTACAACTCAACAACAAAAACACAAAACTCAATCAAAAAATGGGAAAAGGACTCAAACAGACTTTTCCCCAAAGAAGATATATATATAAATGGACAATGAGCACAGGAAAAGATGCTCAATATTACTAGTCATTACAAAAATGCAAATCCAAACCTCAACGAGATACCACCTCACACCCATTAGAATGGCTACTATCAAAAAAACAAACACCACAATCTTCCCCCAAAAAACCCATGCAAGTGTGGGCCAGGATGTGTAGAAGCTGGAGTCCTTGTACACTTTTGGTGGGAATGTAAAATGGCACAGCCATTACAGAAAACAGTATGGCAGTTCCTCAGAAAATTAAAAAAAAATAGATTTACCATATTATCTAGCAATTCCACTTCTGGGTATGTACCTAAAAGAATTAAAGGTAGGGTCTTGAAGAGACCCATCTTCATTGCAGTATTATTCACAATAGCTAAAAGGTGGAAGCCACCCAAGTGTCCACTGACAAATAGATAAACAAAATGTGGCATATACATACAATGGAACATTATTTAACCTTATAATGGAAAGAAATTTTGACTCATGTTATGTCATGAATGAACCTTGAGGATATTATGCTAGGTGAAATAAGCCAGTCACCCAAAAAAGATACTACAATATGTGATTCCATTTATATGAGGTACCTGGAGGAGTCAAACACACAGAGACAGGAAGTAGAAAGGTGGTTGCCAAGAACTGGAGAACGAGGGGGATGGGGAGCTATTGTTTAATGGGAACACAGTTTTAGTTTTGCAAGATGAAAAGAGTTATAGAGATGGATGGTTGTACAACAATGTGAACATACTTAACACTACTGACCTGTATGCTTAAAAATGGTGACAATGGTAAATTTTGTTATGTATATGTTGCAATAATTAAAAATAAATAAGCTAACTAAAACCCAAAAACTTTAGCCCTGGCTGGTGTGGCTCAGTGGATTGAGTATGGGCCTGTGAACCGAAAGGTTGCTGGTTCGATTCCCAGTCGGGGCACATGCCTGGCTTGCAGGCCAGCTCCCCAGCTGGGGGGCTGTGAGAGGCAACTGATGATGTATCTCTTGCACATTGATGTGATGTTTCTCTCCCTCTCTTTCTCCCTCCCTTACCTTCTCTCTAAAAAGTAACTAAATAAAATAAAAAAAGAAAACAAAAACTTTTGCTGATGTCTCATGGTTTTTACGGTAAATGCCAAAACCTGAACCAAGGTCTTCGAGGCTCTGCCTTGCCTTGTACTCTCCCACCCCTTCCTGACTAGTCTACCCACCTTCCTCAGCTCACACCTTCAGAGGCTTTTCATCCCTTTTGGTAAAGCCAGTCCTTCCAGCGGCCCGCAAGGCAGTATGGGAAATGGCTGCCTGAACACCTTGTTGGCTTCATCTCTTCTTCTTACCCCTGCTCACTGCACTCCAGCCATACTGGCCTCCTTGCTGGTCCTTAAATGCCCAAGTCACACTTCTGCCCAGGGGCTTTGCACTTACTGCTCTCTCTGTTTCGAAGGACTTTCTCCCAGGCAGGGCTCTTGTCCCCAGAAGTGGCCCACTCCCTCCTTTGTCCAGGTTTCAGTCCTCAGTGAGACTTTCCCAAGACACCCTAACAATACAGCCCCATACATAGTCCTATATCCCTTCTCTGTTCCATTCTCTCCCCCTTAGCATTTACCTCATATATTACATATTTTATTTATTTATCTTGCTGTCTTTTCCCCCAAATAGAATGTAAGCTATATGAAGACAGAGATTTAGATTTTATTTACTTATTATTTTTAGAGGAGGGGAAAGGAGAGAGAAAAAGAGGGAGAGAAAAACACTGATGTCAGAGAGAAACATCAATTGGTTACCTCTCATACGTGCCCCAACCGGGGACCAAACCATTTGCCCTGACCGGGAATCGAACTGGCGACCTTTATCTTTGCGGGACAATGCTCAACCAACTGAGCCAGGCTGGTTGGGGCATTTTTTATTTTTAAGATTTTATTTATTATTGTCAGAGAGAGGGGAAGGGAGGGAGAAAGAGAGGGTGAGAAAAAGGCAGAGATTTTAGACTTACGTATTCAGTACAGTATATTGTCTGGGATACAAGTGTGTAATAAAGTCTGAGGAACGAATGGATGAGTGACCAGCTCTTCTTCCTCAGCTTTAAGGTTCAGCTCAGAAGTGACACTTTTCGTCACATACACTTCCCCCTCACTGCTCTCTCTGTCCCAGCACAGGCCTTCAGCTCGGCCTGCAGAAATTCTACAGCCCCTACCAGCTCACAGGCTGGACCCTCCCCACAACAGATCCACTTCCCCAGTGCCTAACACAGAGCTGGGCCTGATATTCCATGGATGTATGAACGAATGAATGAGTGCATATACCGACCCAGGAGGGGTTACGGTGGGCAGCTATATATGCTGACTCCCCAGAGGATGGGAGGGGACCGTGTACCTTCTCTCCGATCTCTGTCTTGTCCCCACCAGGCAGCACATCCAGGTCAGCTAGCAGGGCACAGGCCTCCAGGGCCCGCTGGTAGCGCTTGGGGTCCAGAGCTCGGCCAAAGAGCACATTTCCCTGAAGAGTGCAGTTCTGTATCCAGGCCTGCTGGGGCACGTAGGCCACGGAGCCCTGGCCACAGGAGAACCCCGTATTTACCTTGGGGTTGACCAGCCTTTCCTTCCCAGGAGTCCCTGCCCTTCTCACCTTCACATACACCTTGCCTTCCAGCTTCTCCATCTCTCCCAGAAGGGCAGACACCAGGGAGGACTTTCCACAGCCCACAGGCCCTACCACAGCCACCAGTGCCCCTTTTGGTACCTGGATGTTTAAGCTGGGAGACCAGGAGTCCAAAGACAAAGACCGGGTTTCTGATTCCCATCCTTCTGCCTGGAGACCCAAGCCCGTCTCCACCGCGCCCCATTGCCCCCTCGCCGCCCGCCCCCCGCCAACCGCAGATACCACTTTGGCAGTCGAGGCTCTCCCTGCTTTCCCGGGTAAGGGTTGGGGGCAGATTTTGCTGTTGATTTGAACTTTAGCCCCCTTTAGTCAGCTAAGAAGCCACAGGAGAAGCTGGTACCTGCGCAGGGTTGGGGGCAGGTCCTGGGCCCAAGTGAAGGTGCCGTTGTCTATGATGACCGCGTAGCCTGGAAGGGTCAGGGTATACAGAATCAGGGGGGCCAGGAAGGGAGAGAGGGTCCCTGGGAGAGGTTCGGAGGGAGATGTGTGGGATTCCCTGGGGAAGGGGCCAAGGGGAGAAGGCGGGGAAGCTTGGGGCACAGGGGAAAGGGACAGGAAGTCCTGGGGCAGGGGGAACCCTAGGGAAGGAAGGAGAGTCGGGGAGGCCTCGGGAAGGACGAAGGAGAGGAGAGCGGAGAGCCAAAGACGGCAAAGGCAGGCATAGAGTTAAAGATATGAAAGAGGAAGAAAAAAAGGAGTCACAAGAGGAAAGTTAAAAGCTTGGAACAAGGATTTTCTGGAGCAGGGGCTGCTGCAAGAGCAGTCCAGGTAGGAGTATCTGGACCTGGGGTGATGGTCTTTCTCTCTACACACTGGGGGTCAAGTTCATCTTGGCTCAGGAAATGCTGGATCCGCTTCAGAGACACGCTGGTCTGCAGGGGGGCATGAGTCAGCCCTGGAAGCCATGTTTTCTCTGTCCCCCTCCACTGCCTCTCACACTTGCTTGGCCCCCAACTCCCTGGGTGCAGCCGAGCACTCTGAAGGCCCAGACACTGGTGCAGGGGCTCCTCCCAGGACTAAATCTTTCCTGGCTCCCACTGCCGAAGACAGAGTTGGTAAGAGGAGGTTATCTCCAGAACTCAGGTTTTCAGGGACCCCGCCTGGTCTCTTGACCCCAAATGACCGCTGCTTCTAATGATTTCATTCAACTTCCAACAATTCCTCTTAATGCCAGATGGTCCTCTCCTGATTCCAGTAATTCTCCTTGATTATCTTCTGACCCTACGTGACCCCAACAACCCGCCTTCACTCCAGCAGAAAACCCAGCCCCACCTGGGGTTACCTGAGTCAGACCGCTGATTAATTGGGACAGTGAGCCGAGGGGGTTCTTTAAGATATTGAACAGGGACACAGACACAAAGGCCTTCTCAGCATCCAGCACATTGTTCGGGTCCACAGACACATACACCCCGAGGGTGATGAGGGTCACCTGGGCAGCGGTAGGGGTGAGTGTCAGGGTGGAGTATGCTGGGCCCAGAGGCCTGGGGGGCCCAGGTGGGAGGCGGGAGGCCAGCCCCGGCAGGAGAGCCTCACCAGGAAGGGGGTGCAGATCCAGATGAAGACGGATATGGCATAGAGGTAGTAAGCACGGCGCAGCAGCCGGAGCTCGCTCTGCCGGATGCCCTCCACCTGCTTCAAGAGGCTGGGCTCCCAGGCGTACAGCTTCAGCACCTTGATGCCACCCAGGATCTCGCTCATCAGCTTGATGCGCAAGTCCTTGCACTTCATTTGTTCTACCTGCAGAAAGAGTGGCGGTGGCACGTCCCCTCCCCTTCCCAGACCTCTGCCGTTGGGGGCTCATTCCTCCCATGCACTGGCACACACTGCAGCCACTGGGGCTGCTCACCAGTGCCCCCCCGACCGCCCACCTCCTCAAAGCCTGTGCTGCACCTCAGCCTGGAAGACCCAGCTCAGCCTCCCTACTCCTCCCGACAAAATCCAGCTCCAACCTCAGCACTAATGCCGTGGTCCCTCCCAGGCAGCATCCTCCGGCCCTGTCTCTGGGTCTCTACAGCACAGCATACTTTCCTGTTGTCCCCAGAGTGATCGTGTGCATGGATGCTTCCCCACTCAGACTGCCAGCCTCCTGACCCTAATCCAGGGCGCAGCACGCCGAAGAAATTTATGCATTCAAGCCCTGTTTATTGAGTGCCTGCTAAGTGCCGGGCCACATGCGAGACATGGGGCAGATAGATGACCAACTCAAACAAGGCCTCAGTCATCATGAAGCTGACAGTCTGATGGGTAGGCAGGTAGGAAGCAAACAATTATTTAAATAAATGCTTAATACATCAGCGTGCATATTCTGAGGGAAACCATAGGATTCCGTGAGAGTCTAGGAAATGAGAGTTTATGTTGGGAGGTTGGGAGAAGGGAAGGAGTTGGGCAGGCAAGGAAGGGAAGAGCATTCCAGGGAAGAGTGGGTATGGTGGCCTGGAGGTATGCAGAGCTCAATGCTTTGGAGAAAAGTGAGGCCAGACCAGCTGAAATTTGGCCATATCACAGGGGCTGAGGGCTTGCAAGGGGAGCAGGGACCTGGTGGGTGATCCCAGGGTCTTTGTCATTCATTCAATATGCAGTAGGAAACCACTGAAGACTTCAATAGATGTTTGCAAATAAAGGACTGGATCACTGGCTATTCACACTCAGCAGAGTGTGGCAGGAGAAACGCTTACTAGACCAAAAGATGCAGGTTCAAGTTCCAGGTCTGCCTGATTCTGGACTACCATAATCTCTCTGGGCATTGGTTCCTCACATGCACAGTGAGAATGTTTCTAAAACGCTCTTGGGTTGCTGTGAAGATTGAGTGAGCTAGGGTTTGTGAAAGTGTCTTGTAGCCATCTAGTATTAGTAAACAAAATAACTGAGGGGCCCCAGGTTAGTCAATATGCTTCCCAGGCACCTGGCCAGGTGCTCCAGGCAGAAGCAGTGCACCTATGATAGCACTCACCTCTAAATCACGTGTCTTTTTGGCCAGAAGTCCATTGAATGGGATCAGCAGGACCAGGAGAGCAACTCCAGCCAGAATGGAGGGACCTAGGTTCTGAGGAGGCACAAGTGCATAGATAAGACATATAACCATTGTGTATGTAGGCAGAACCCAACAGACAGAGGCTTACTGATAGGAAGCATGGAAATGGGCAGAAAGCAATTGATTACAGTCAGCCAGATATGCAAAGTAGACATCTAGAGAAAGCCAAAATGACCAAAACATCTGCAGATGCAGTCAGCCATCAGATCATGGTAGCAAACAGGCACAAACACGCAGGCGTGGAGGGGTGTCCAGATACACAGGAAGGCAAACACAGACAGACAATGACAGTCAGTCACACATACCCTGCCGCCTAGTCTGTCTTTGCTAAGGATAATCACCCGGGCTGGAAAGACTCGGTCGCAGACACCAGCATCAGCATCCTTGCAGCCCTGACTCCTGCCCCACTATCTAGGGAAGCTCTTGTATCCATTATGCAGCACCTCTGCTGACCCAGAATAACCGTCTTGCCCTTTCTCAGCAAGGTCAAGGTCAGAGGAAGGGACCAGAGAGAGTCACCTGCCAGAGGAAGTAGATGGCCAGGATGATCTGCAGAGGTCCTGACCACAGCAGATGGAGGAAGGTGACAAGGTCCATGAAGTGCTGGGCATCCACTGATATGAGGTTGACCATTTCCCCCACGGTGGACTCACGTCTGACTGAATTGGTGATGACCAGAGCCTGTAGGTAGACAGCAGGTGATGAACTTGGCCAGTGAGGTTCTCTGAAGCTCCCCAGGGCCAGCCTCCCTGGTCCCCAGGGCCCTGCTCCAGCTGACCTTCCTGTAGATGACACCTATGATCCCCGTACGGAGCCTCAACCCTATCACAAAGATGTATTGGAAACACTGCTGCATGATCAGAGTCTGTATCACGGAGCACACGAACATCAGCACAGCTACCAGGATGCCCCACCACGTGGGGGCCGTGGGGTTTGAAATAAATCTGATCAGGATGCTGCAAAGGCAGGAGATAGGCATGAGCGTGGGGCAGGCTCCCCAGGCTGCTCCTTCTACTGCTTCCCTCCCCTTTCATCCTCAGCCTCCACTCCACCCCCTTCTCCCCCCTCCCCAACCCAGACCAGGGGGACTCAGCCCAGTGTTGCCTCAAGACCATGACTCTCCCTCCTTGCTCCCTTCTGCCTTCATCTCTTTTTCTATCCACCATGGCCCCCACTACACCTTCCATCACTCTCACCAGCAGCCTCACCTGCCTGCCTTTCTTGCCTGCTTTGACCACATGGCAGGAAGTAATACTACACGTTTCTTGATTAGAATTTCCTGTGCCTCCTTCCAGGCTGCTGAGGGCTCAGAGTGTACTGTATGCCAACACAGACTCTTGCCTCTCAAATCCATCCTCTCCAACATCAGCCAGCGCCAGTGCTACCTGGTGACCTTCTCCAGGGTCCTACCTCACCTCCTCTTCCACAGCCTTCTTTATCTCTCTTCTCCTACCTTCTGAGTGGAACCACTCTCCACCTCCTCAGCAGCTACCCACTTAAGTCCGCCCACTTAATTCATCTATTAAGAACTCCCCACCAACCACAAACTTTTCTCCCAACACTTGCCCTCTTCTCTTCCTCCTGCCTCAAGAGAGGTGTCTCTCCAGTTCTCCCAGCCTGATCCTGCCCCCCTAAGCTCTGGATCCCATCCACCTCTTCAAGAACATGCTGCATCATCGCCTTCCTTTCTCCTGGTCTTCAATAGCTTCGTTTCTGCGGGCAGCTCTGTGTCTTCACCTTTTGACATGATCAATTCTCTTCCATGTTGAGACAAGTATCCCCTTACTGTGTGGATCTACCTCCATAGTCACAGCCAGGACTCTCCTTCTGAGGCTTGAATGCGTCTCCCAAAAAGATATATTCAAGTCCTAACCCCTGGTACCTGTGAATGTGATCTTATTTGGAAATAAGGTCTTTGCAGACATAATCAATCAAGTTAAGATGAGATCACTAGGGTGGGCCCTAATCCAATGGCTGGTGTCCTTATAAGAGACAGGAGAGGGAGATTTGCACAGAAACACGGATATACTCATGAAAAGGCCATGAGAAGAAGGAGGCAGAGGTAGGAGTGTTGTGTCTACAAACTTAGGAATGCCAAGGAGTGCCAGCATCCACCGGAAGCTAGGGGGTGTGGAACAGATTCTCATTCAGAACTTCTAGAAGGAACCAACCCCACCAACACCTTGATTTCAGCCTTCTGGCCTCCAGCTGTGAGAGAATAAATTTCTGTTTTTTTAAGTCACCCAGTTTGTGGTAATTTGTTGCAGCAGCCACAGGAAATGAATGCATCTTTCTATACAGGAAGTTTCTAGACCTCCATGGCCCCTATCTCCACTGCAAACCCCATGTTCTCAGGGCCTTCCCCTCTGTCCCAGTCTCTGTTCTTGGCAAAGTCACCAGCAAACTCCATGTGGCCTTCCGCAGGCTCTATTGTACTGGCCATCTTGCAAGCACCCTGCTCCTCCATCTCTGACCCCTCCCTGTCAGGCTTCTGTTTACCCCTTTCCTGTCAGAATTCCCCAGGGCTGTCTGGGGCCTCTAATCTGGGGCAAAGCTTAGCCACAGATATAAGACCCTGGGCTTCCACCGATGGCTCTGAAATGGCATCTTCAGCTGGCTGAGTCTCACCTTGGGGCACCCGGCCGAACTACAGGTCCACATGGCTACAACTCTCCGCCTTGCCCGGGACCCAGCCCTCTCCTCCCACTGAGTTCATCATCTCAGCAAAACACCCATCGTCCTCCAGTCACCCTTGACCCCTCCCTCTCTCTGGCACACCCCTCGTCTCCAGAGGAGCCTCTGAATCCTCTCTCGCTCCTGGCCTGGGTCCGCATCTGCCCTGGTTGGCCCACTTTCATCTGGCCACCTGCCCTATCACCCCCTGAACTACTGGCAGGGGATTCTTCCAAAATACAAACCAGTTGCCCCTTTCTGGCTGCAAATCTTTCAAGGATTTCCTTCGCTCTCCCCCTCTCCCTTTGTCTTTCGCCCTTCCCTCTGATCACGCTATCCTCCCGCATTCCAGCGTTCAGAAATACCTGGATTGCCTGAGTCATGCTGTCTCAGGCCTTTGTGGCTTTGCCTCGGCTGCACCTTCTCCTCCTTCCTCCCCTGGTTAACTAACCTTTGCTTGTGCTTCCAAATTTTATAAACCCCCTGGCTGCCAGATGTACCCTGCTCTTTCCCAAGCTGGCTGCTGTTCCCCTCCTGGGGTTGTCCAGACACTGGAGCGCACCTCTGCCCGCAAAGCGCTCTAACGGATTCACACGTTGCTTCCGCCTGCGAGACTTTAAGACCATAGCTTGTTGGTACCCTGCAGCTCAATACATATTCATCGAATAAACAAATGCATGAATGGGAGGAGGGCAAGGAGCTGGCGGCTCAGATGCTAGGCCACCCTCTTTCCCACCCCCTCAGTTGAGAACTGCTAGTCCAGGCCACTCCTGTGACAGATGATAGAGCCTATCTATCATCTGGAAAGAATGCTGTAGCTGGAGTTCAGAGCCCTGGACTCCAATCCGTCTCTATCAGCTGTGTGTCCTTGAGCAAATCGTTTCACCTTTCTGAATTCCTGCTTCCTTATTTGTTTTTTTTTAAATTTAGTTTTTCTGCTTCCTTGTTGGTAAAATGGGAGTAGGGACACCTCTCTGTAGGATTTAAAGAGAGAATGTTTAATGCATCCACCAGGGAGCCTGGCACATAGTATGTACCTGGTAAAGATAAGTTGGATGTGAATGGGGAAACTGAGGTGCAGAGGCATTGCCATTGCCAAAGGGCACACAGAAGATGGAGAGTCCCTTCAGTTCCTGGTCTGGGGCTCTTCTCGCCACGTGTCATCCCTCCCTCTGCGCTCAGTCCTCAGGGACAGCCACGCCCCACCCCCACCCAGGGAAGGGCTGCAGCAAGAGGGAGCATAGGAAGACCTGAGCAGCTGTGGGTTGATAAAGGCGAGCATGCTCTGGACCAACATGAAGCATGTGCTGATGAGGAAGCCGGGGCCAAAGGTGGCCAGCAGGGCCTGCAGGAAGGAGGGCTCCCGGGGCCGGCGCCGGCGTCCCAGCAGCTCCTCACTCTCCGTGGAGACTGTCTTCCCGGCTGCCGCCGTGGCCCTGTGTCTGGTCAGGGAAGAAGGAGCAGTGGGTAGGTATGGGCTCAGTGAAGCCAAGCGCCGGGAGCTGGGTCGGGGGGGTGGGGGAGGAGTGGCGAGCTGCTTTCTGGGCTCTCAGGACTGGGAGGGGGATGGACAACAAGACTTTTGAAGTAAACTCCCCAAGAGGCTCTGGCCTCAGGTGCTAGAATGTGTCTGAGTGGTGCCTTACTGCCGCCTGATGACTATGACCCAGCAATGCGCCGCCTCTGGCTGACCCCTGTCTCCCCAGGGAGGATGCGGACAGGGAAGGGACACATGGGCAGGGAAGGCTAGTGGCCTAGTCACTGGGAAGCTGCACAAGGAGCGGGTAGAGGTGACGTGGAGGGCCAGAGAAGGGGCGTCCAGGCAGACTGGGGAGCCACAGGGCGTCCCAGAGGCTCCACGCTATGGAAGCAAAGACACTGCTGGCCAAGCCCAAGTGCCAGGCTCCACTGACAGCCAGCTGGTACCAGGGGCTCCTGACTGAACAAGCAGTGAGATCCGCGGCCCCCGGTTGGTGGGGGCTCAGCCACAGGGCCACAAGTGGGCAGGAAAGAATGACTCGGAACCCCGTCTCTCGTGGCTGGCAGTGAGCTAGAGATGGGGTCCTTGACGGGAGGCGGCCCGTGGAAAAGCCCCTCAGCTGGAGGGTCATCTTCTCCAGCCACTGCCTCCAGACAGGACGAGGCAGATATACAGGCCCCTCCTGAGGGAAGTCCCTGGAATCCAAACCCCCTTCATGTTGGGCAGGGTGGTGCAGTGAAAGAGCAGTGGAGCCGGACACCTGGGCGCAGATTCTAGCTGGGCCACGACCAACCAGGGGACTTTGGGGGTGCCACTAAACCTCCGTGTCCCCATCTGCAACAAGGGGACAACAGGATGTATATCGTAGGGCTGTTGGAGACTGAGTTCATCTCTGCGCTCAGGGTCACGCCTGGGATGGAATGAATGCTACAAAACTGGCGGCCGTTCTCTGGCCTCCGTGGACCCAGAGAGAGCTGGCCTCACCCAGTCCTGCGCGTCCCACCTCAGGGCCACCTACACCTCCTCTTCTCCCTACCGCCCGCCCTGCCACCCTCGCAGGTCAGCAGCCTCCACTGCAGGAGACCTGGGTGCGTGACGGGGCTGGGCGGAAAGGCGTGGGCACTGGGAGGGCCTCACCCTGCTGCCTGCTTTTGCTGCTTCTTCCAGGCCTCCAGCAGCCTCTGCACCACCATCTCGCAGCGGTTCTCCTCGTTCAGGGACCAGAGGTCTTGCTCTTCCAGGGGGCGCCGGTAGCCGAGGATGGCCAACCTGGGGCAGGCAGATGGCCCCAAATGGAGTCAGAGTTTAGCGACCTGGAGCCACGACCAGGGTCTCCAGAAAGGAGGGTATCTCTAGGGTGCTGTGGTCAAGGAAGGTGTCTCCTTTATTTGCCACAGTGAACAGGCTGGAGGTCACTGCCTCCTACCCTGAGTTCTCATCTCAGGCTCCTCTTTCTTTTCCCCACCGACCCCTGGGTCCTGGTGATGAAATTCATGCTGGCTGGGGCCCTCTTCGGTCACCCGGGTGGGAGACACAATTATCCTGCTCAAGCCACTCTGACGGGTGGCCAAGGAGGTGACAGAAGAGTGTAGCATTACACTAATTACGGTTTTCTTCTAGCCCCTAGGCCTGCCCTTGCTGTCTGCTAGATGCAGGGCTGGCCTGTGGTCTGGGATCAGAGCTGGGCCATGCCTGGCCTTTGCACTCAGCCTCCAGCCTAAACAGCTTCCCCAACCTCTCCTGCCCCATGGCTGCTGAGGCAGGGGTTTGGAGTAGAGGGGCCAACCAGGCCCGGTTCTGCAGGCCCCTGAGCTTCCAGCCCGCTGCCCTTCCTCCTGCTTACCCCTGTCTCCCAGACCCCCCTCCCTGGCCCAGACTGGAGGAAGAGCCAACTCACTTTGTGAACCACCAGAAGGACAGGCGGGAGAGGAAGCCGGCGTCAGCCTCTGGGCAGGGGTTCTAGAAGGTGAGAGTGAAATGGGAGAGATCAGGAGTGCCCACCGCCTCTCCAGGCATAGAAGAGGGAGGAGGCCCTCTCGCCCTCGGGCTCTGAGCTCCAGGTGGCACGTTGTGGAGATGACCTGGCAATGGAAGGGACTGCAAGGGATCAGGAATGCTGGTAAGAGCCCGCTAGGGGTGGGTGTGCAACCTCCATCCCCATCAGCCTCCATGGAAAACTCACAGGGTCAACATTCTTTGGGGAGAACAACGGTGGCTTCTCCTTGAAGCAGGACAGGATGAAGGCAAAGAGCACCAGGGCAAAGTAGATGTAGAAGGTGGTGAAGCGGAAGGGGTCCAAGATCTTGCCCTGGGGGGACAATGGGGAAGAGCATCAGAACCTCAGGCTCCTCAGAGAGGGGTGGGGTCACAAGCAGGCCACTGTTCAGTGAGGACTTGCCCCACATCAGGCATTGCGCCAAGCGGCTCGCCTTCATCACCTTCTCCAACCCTCCTTGGCACCCTCTCCCAGGTGGGAAATATTTGGTGCTCAGTTTGCAACTGAGGAAATGAGGCCCCAAAAGACTAAGGAATTTGCCCAAGGTCACACAGAGAATAAGTGGGTTATTCCAAGCCTGTACTCTTATGGATATACTTGACTGCCTCCCCTTGAGATGGACAAATGGGGAGATGCTGGATTGACGCCCAGCGTTCCTACCACCCACTGACAGCCCCACCACAGATCAAGGGGGAGGCTAGGGACTGAGGAAGGTGAGAAGAAAGGGGAAAACAAGACCATGGGACCTCCAGGTAAGCCAGAACTACCCATGTATGACTGCAAACATGTGTTCATTACCGACATTGGCGGACACCCCTGTCAGACATTGCAGTTGGTGGTGGCTACAGAACAGCCCCCTTGCACTCCCATAAATATCCATCAGTGGCCCCGTTCTGCTGAATTACACTGGCCCTCAGCTCAACCACCATCCCAGCAGAGGTGGTTCTGCTTCCCAGCAGAGATACAGCAAGCAGAGAAAACCACAAAGAGCACTGAAGCTCAGAAGAGGTCCTCGGAGCCAGGGAGGGGCAGAGCAGAGGAGCCGGGGACCCAGCAGTGGCCTCAAGCCCTGAGGTTACCCCCACATAGGGCTGGACCGGGGAGGTGCGCCTCTTTGCCCTCACCTTTGCCACAGCTGAAAGGATCTTGGAGCGGAAGGGGATGACAGCACAGACCACACACAGGAACCAGAAGATGATGAGGACCCCCGAGGACTGCACCCCCCGCAGCCGCTCGTACTGGATCAGCAACGTGGCCAGCAGCTGTGTGAGAAGGGCAGGGGAAACCAGGCCAGAGTGCGCACCTCTGGACTTGCCTCTGTGCCTCCCCATCCTGCGTGGCCAGATGTCTGTGGGGTCACCCTCATCTTGTTCCCATTGCTAAGGTGTCCAGCCTTCTCCGCAGAGCCCATGGTTCCCCCACCGTCCTAGACCCACTGGAGACCCACCCCGACGCAGCTTCCCAGATCCCACACTGACCATGGTGACCCCCACCACCAAGGGGGTGACAACGAAGATGGGGGCAGGGGCCCAGCCGTGGACCAGGCCATGGAAGGAGTAGAAGAGGTCAGCCCAGGAGATGCACCACAGCAGAACGCCCAGGGCCTACAGACAAGGCACGCGTTGGAGTGTCCATCCCCAGAGGGAGGGACAGTCACTTCTTGCTTCTGAAGCTACCAGATCTGCCTGAGCCTCACCCTGAGGGCCGGGCTGGGCCCTGGCTGGAAGCTTCTCAAGGGTGGGAGAACCTGGATGGAAAATGTGCTTGCACCTCCCCAAGAAGGGGATATTTCAGTTGGCTGCAAACCCAGCTGGCAAGCTGCCACGGCCCCAGGGCCAGGTGGTGAAGCCGAGGAACCCTGTCCAGTTGCTGAGGATGGGGGAAGGGACTCATTAAAAAAGAAACCCCCCTGACCCCCGCCTACCACCCACCAGTCCCAGCCCCTGACCGTCTTGAGCCTGGAGAGGTGGGAGAGGACGATGTAGCCTTGGTGGCGGTGCTGAAGGTAGAACAGGTAGCAGGGCAGGGCGGCCCACAGGTAGATGCAGGGAATCCAGGCCAGCAGGGAGTTCTGGAAGCACGAAGTGAGGTCGGGGTTGTCTGTGTACACGGACAGATTGGAGTCCTGGGGACAGAGAACAATTCAGTGCTGTGGCCGCCTTCTGCAGAATAGGACTCTCCCTCAAGAGAAGTGGCTGATCCATGTGCAGCTGGGTCAGAAGGTGTGTTAAGATGAGAGGGTAAGTGTGCAAATGAGCAGGTGTTGCTCCGAGTGGGAGCTCTCCTGGGAGGTCATGGCTGTCCCCATTTCCTCATTCTTGCGCATTCTCTCTCCTCCCCCCCCACTTCAACTGCAGTACAATTTAAGTACAATAAACTGCACCCATTGAAAGTGCACAATCCAATGGATTTGACAGTTGCACAAACCTGCAAACCCACTGCTCCATAAAGATACAGAATATTTTCATCATTCCACGAGCTCCCCTGTGCCCCTTTATAGCCCATCCTGCCCGGGTAACCACTGATCTGCTTTCTGTCATTCTAGATTTCTACTCTTTTTTAAAAGTAATTTTGTAATTTATCAAAACAAATATATGCACACAGTTGAAGAGCCCGCTTCCTCTCTAAGCCTCTTCCAAGAAGAGACAGAGAACTTCCCTGAGATTGCATGCCTTTCTTCCGCAATGGGGGAGGTCATCCCCCACCCCACCCACCTCGCGGGGTGGGTATAAGCTCAAAGGAGCAAAGGGATGTGGAGAGAGCTTTGTAAATTACCGGACCTACGGTGTCCAACCATCTCACTTTGTGTAGAACGGCCCTGGTTCTAGCACCAAAAGGCGGGGTGTCCTGGGGAACCAGTGAGTCCAGACAAGAGCCCCCTCTTGTCTTTGGCTATAACTCTACCTAAGAACTTCTTTGGAAACAGATGGGGGAATACATTCAAATACATATTTTCCTGAGATTGTTCCCTCCAAGACCCTCGGTCAACTCATCTTTCTTTCTTGCAAAAATTAGACGTTCTTTATAGAAAGCTCAGAAAATATAAACAACTTTTAAAAGGCCACCCATAATCTCATCCACTTAGAGACACCTGTTTACAACGGTTAACCCCCACCCTCTAATGAAAAATGTAAATAATTATCATTTTTATTTTTGTCAAAGTTATACATGCACATAATTTAAAAAGCCAAACTGTGAAAAAGAAAAGGGTATTCTGCCTCATCACCCCCGACTCTTCGTTCCATTTTCCAGGGGAAACAAGGCTAACTTTCTCCTGGTACCTACACTCCCATATTTTAAGCAATTTGCTTTTACTATTATTATTCGATTTACCATTATCTGATAACCACCATTTTCTTTTGCTTTGAACGGTGAGGCTGTACTTCTCTTATAGCCTATCCTCTTGAGCTTCCTCATCCTTCCAGTGCAAAAACATCACAGAATTTTTGTTAAATAAATATTCAGAGTTTACACTTTTTCACTGTGTATATGTTGTTTATTGCAAAAGTCAACACAATTGGCTCTACCTCTTTCAAGTGGTTTGACCTTGGGCAAAATGCTGTATCTTCACCTCTCTGGATCTTGGTTTGTTCAAAGGTAACGTGGTGGGGAGAACATCTCCCACCTGGCCCCTCCCACCTGGCCCCTTCGCCATCCTGCTAGAACAGTCCCTCACCTCTTCCCAAACTATTTCCTTGGGGTTCTGGTCTCTTCTCCTTCATGCCCTGATCCCTGTCCACACCCCCCGGCCTTTCCCTCCTTCCTCCGTCTTCCCTTCTAAGTCTCTTTGCTGGTCCCCTTCTTGGCATCAGAGTGCCGCAGGGCTCAGTCCTTTCCTTTCCTTTCTTTTCCTCCATCTCCTCCATCTGCTCTTACCTCCTTGGTGGTCTCATCTACATACTAATGACTCCCAAGTTTATCATTTCCACTCCACTACTCTCTAAATCCCCAACTCTATATTCAATTGCCTGCTGAACATCTCCACTTGATGCCCGCCCCCCCCCCCCCCCCCCCCGCTGCCCTACAAGGAGCTGTGCAGTGTGCCTCCCCACCAGCCCGTGACCTTGCTCACCGCCTCCCCGGCATCGCTCCAACCAGTGGCCTATTTCTCAACACACCAGGATCAGGGCCTTTGCACGTGCCATCTCTCTGCCTGGGACACTCTCCCCCAAGACATCGTTCAGTCTTTGTTTCTCAGTGAGGTCAACCCTGACCAGCTCTGTTTAAAATTGCCGGCTGCACCCCACCCCAGCATTCCCGATACATTCTCCTTGTCCTTCTCTGTTTTTTCCTTTTCTCTATAGTGCCTATCACCTTCCAACATGTTATATTATTTACTAGTGTGCTATGTTTCCTCTCATCTCGTCCTACTGACATGTAAATTTCTTAAAGGAAAGAGCCTTTATTTCATTTATTAATGTATCCTAGGTACCTAGAATAGTAGGTGCTCAGCCAAAAATTTGCTTAAATAAGTTAAATATTTGTTGAATAGATGAATGAATGAATGAACAAAAGGATAATCTATACCCTCCCTCTAAAATTTCAGTGGCTCCCTTCTGTCTAGAAAACAAAATCTCAGCATGTTACTAGAGCATTTGAGGCCTTCTACTGACCTTGAATTATCTCTCTCTCTCTCTCTCTCTATCTATCTATCTATTTATCTATCCGAACTATTTAACTATCTATATGCTTGAGTTCTCTCATCATAAGAAAACATTTCACGGAGTGATCTGCATACCCTGCCTCCCTTTCCTCAGCCTCCTTTCACTCATTAATTTACCCGGGTCAGCTCTCTGCCATCCTATGGCCTTGCTCCTGCCTCAAGACGACCCTTCCTGAAATGCAGCTTTGTGCCCCTTGCCTCAGGCCCACAAACCTGCAGAGGCTCCTGCTGCTCATGGAGCCAAGTCCAAGCACCCCAAGTGCTTCTTTCTTCCTACCTCCCTTCCCACTGCTTATTCCCTTGTTGCCAAACTCACTTCATTCTACCTCAGTTCTGAGACTCCCGATCCTTCCCTTTGCCCATCCTGGTCCCTTTTTTTTCCAACTTGTCAAAACCCAACAGCTACAGGGAAGAGGGGTGGGACTGGCTTAGCACCCGCCTTTTCCATCTTGAGCACCCCTTCTTCTCTGAAGTCAGCACCTATCAAGGGAGCTACCACTTCGGAGCATCAGTCTTCCACCTGACGATGCTTTGGTCAGGCAGTAGGCTGGGCGCACCTGGAGCAGGGCTGTCGCTTGCCTTTGGGGACCATGCAGCCCAGGGACACACTGCCTTGGGGCATTTCACTCAAGACCCAGCAGGCAGAGGTTGTACATCTTGTATTCCAGAGCCCTGTATTTAGTAGTCGTTCAAGCAATGTGAGCTAAGGATCCACAAACTCATGCTGAGCCCCCAGAATGCTGGCTCAGGGCTGAGTGGGCGCTGGGTCACAAAGATGGACACTCTACTAGGTCTGGTCAGGAACCACTGGGGGACAGGGAGCAGACACAGCTAATCCAGCCCCAATCCATGTCTTGTTTCCGTTAAAAAATGTTTCTTAAACAAGTATAACATACTTACAGAAAAGCACACACATCTTAAGTACGTGCCTCAGTGAATTTTCACATAGTAAACATACCCGTGTAACCAGCATCCAAGTCAAGAAAATGAGGGGAGACCATTACTGGCCCCCAGAAGCTCCCTGGTGCCCCCTCCCAGCACTACTCACCCCAGGGAAATGCCACCCGACTCCTAACAATGTCGATTCATTTTGCTCATTTGGGATCTTCCCATAGAGAAAGTTGTACAGGATGTATCTTTCACGTCTGGCTTCTTTCACTCAACACTGTGCCCGTGGGTGTCATTCTTGGGGTTGAGTGTGAGCGGGAACGCCCAGTCCTCATTTCTGCACGGTTAGCTGTCGTGTGAACGGATCCATGCACCTACGCATTCTACTGTCAGTGGGCAGCCCCACCCTGCTCTTATCTCAGCAGGCCCATTAATCGACCCACTTAGTTGCCACCCAGGAGCCTGTCCAAGGCTGGCCCTCCCCAACTCAGACTGACAGGTCTCCAAGCCTGCGGCACATGTCCCAGCTCCCTGGCCTGAGCCTGAGCCTCGCCTCCTACAGGAAGCCTTTCTGCGTGTGTGGCCTTGGCAGCCAGGTAAGCGACTATTACCAGAGAGTGATAAGAGCCCCTTATGTTTCAGGGGCACTTTATTACAACACTTACATGGTCATTAACTGGCTGGCTGATTCAGAACATCTTCCAGAAGTAGAGAGGAGGAACAGTATTAGGCCCAGCTCGCAAAAGAGGAAGCAAGCTTCACCTGCTCTGGCAACAGGTGCCAGACCCGGCAGTAGGGACCTGGGACAGGCACCCAGGCCTTGTGATGCCACACTGGGGTTTCTCCCCACGCCATGCCCCCTTGTGTCTGTGAACACATCCTCTCCCACAGAAACATAGCCTTTGAGGACAGATGCCAGGCCCTATCTTACTCCTCTCCTCTCCTGCCCCACCCACGTCCTCCAACTCCCAGCCCAGGGCCAGATATGCAGGAGGCGTCCAGAAATGGTGTATGCGTTGATTGACAAGGGAATTCGAGTTCAAGGGCATGATGGGGAATCCTTGCGTGGGTGTGCAAGTCGGTGCCGTGGCTCTTCGAGGCAGGAGGCGAGTGGCCACACGAAGAACCAAATCCCGATGCAGAGGGCCATTTGTGGGTTGCCGCTGTTGAACGATGGGGCCATGGGAGAGTTCCTTTATCTCTCTGGACCTCTTTCTCCATGCGTGAGTCATAATGGCAGTAAATGACTGCATCCTGGGAGCTCCCCGCGGGGGAGAGAATGAACAGCAGAGTATATCGACTCAGATAGGGCAACACTTGGGAAAGCCAGTGATGGAGCAAGAGGCTGTGGGGACTTTGTTTCAGTGGCACAGACAACCTGCACTATGGCAACAATCAAGAGATGGGGGCCCCTGGCTGGTGTGTCTCAGTGGATTGAGTGCCAGCCTGCAAATGGAAAGATGGCTGGTTCAATCCCCGGTCAGAGCACATGCTTGGGTTGTGGGTCAGGTCCCCAGCTGGGGGTGTGCGAGTCAACTGATCAATGTTTCTCTCCTTCCCTTCCCCTCTCTAAA